TAATCTTAGAGTATATCAAATATTAATATTATAGAAAATTAATACCGAATTAGTAATAATATAAGTTAAACAATTAAAAGATTTTTAAGAATAATTGGCTTTTGATTTAAGATTTATATTTTTTAGAACAATAGTATACTACAATACAAAACATAATATGAAACTTATACTTAAAGAAAAGAATAAAGTTTATTTGCTATAACGAAATATTGAGATTAAGAAACTAAGTAATAAACTTGATTATAAAAAATTAGGATTATTCAAGATTGATAAGGTAATAGGAACAATTAATTATTAATTGAAATTATTAGATATAATAAATATTCACTCAGTATTTCATATATCTTTACTCGAATTAGTATTACTAGGAATACTAAATATACTATTCATAAAAATCAAACCAATCAATTCTAATATTATACATAATATCAAAATAATATTAAATTGTAAATACATTAAAGACAAAATTAAATATTTAATTAAATAATTAAATTACTTATATTCAAAAAATATATGGGAATATAAAGAGAATCTTAACTATCCTAAAAAGTTGGAGACATTCTATTAATAATATTCGGATTTATTTAGAAAAAAGGAGAATTTATTAAAATAAGGATTGAAGGATTTAAAGAAGAATTAAAATCGAAAGAATTGTTACCAGTAATAACGGAGGAAATAGAAGCTTATTCCTTCTCCTTTTCTAGATGTTTATTTTCCAATTATTATTCCTCAGCTTCAAATTCCTCAAGGACTTTAATGGTATGTAAGTTATATTATAACATTTTACCCGCCTTTTTATAAAGAATCTTTTGTTATTTACAAATTCTCATTTAATAAGTAAAAGCTTCTTACTTTAATTTTGTAGTAGCTTCTTTCTTTGTTTCAAGACGAGCTTCTTTATATTCTACATAAGCCCAGTTATTAGTAGAATGACCATAAACATTACAATCATTACTTCCTATGCTTTTAGTACATTCACTATAATAAGAACTATTAGAAAGAACTCTACATTTCAGATTTTTATCAATATAACAATTATACCTAAACGGCATAATGATTCCTTTTTCTTTGAAACAAAAATAAATGTTTTTTCGACTATTAGTAGATTTTTTAGAATAAATGATTAGTATAATGAAAAAGCAAAAGCATTAGAGAAAGCGAACTCCTAGGTAGGGAAGCTTACTTTATAAACGCTTGAAGCAAGCACTAGGATAAGAAGGGGATAGTATTACAATTGAGGTCGTCACATAACTAGATTGACTAAATATCACCTAATCAAGGTGTCCCATTGAATCTCACTGAATAATACCCAATAGGATATAATAAAAAGTAATAAAATAATAAAGAATAAAGGTCTATATAAGAAAATGAGATTTCATTATAATATAAAGCTTTATACTCAAAATAACAATTATTAATTTTATTATTATAATTACAAGAATTACAACTAATTATAATCTTATTAAATTCCTATTTGAAATCTAATCTAAACCATCTCGAAAGAACTCTAAACACTTCCACATAATCCTAGAGGCAGCTCCCATAACATTTATCTTTAATTAATATAATTTTAGATTAATTGAAAATTAAATATATAATAAATTTAACTATTATCTATTATAAAATATTATTTTCATTAAAATCGATATCAAATTAACAAAGTTATTATAAAATAAATAAAAAAATATAATATTTAAATGTTTTTAATGAGGTATAGAAAAGTTATATTTTGAAAGCTAGTTATGAAATCGAGTATATGTTTATCTAGAGAAACGTACATATGACTTTACAATATTAATTTTCATATAAGAATAGCCACATAGTTGCATTTGAATCTTCCTAAGTAACAGCCACCACAGGATAACACGCCTTAGGGTATTAGCTCTAGCTCGCTACTTTTATCTTCCGGCATTGGCAGCTTTTTTATCTTTTCTGTTGCTTCGCCAAGCACTAGCCAATCTGTATGCTTCTCGGCCCTTTAGTCAACGCGACCCCCTCAGTAGCAATCCAAGCAAGCTAGGCGGCTACAGTACCAAAATGACGGCAAGATGTCGGATACTGTGACCACGATATTTGAGCACTCAAAGGTACCGAGCTCGCCTAGCTCAAATCCGGACTGTTATGAAGGAGTCAGTTTTATCACGTCACCTTATTTGTATTTAAACTAACCTTTGTCTCCAGTCATTGCTGTGCAGTCTCTTGAATTCTATCGTAGAATTTTGTCTCAAAAAATCCATTCATTGCAAAAGATATCACTTCCAGTTGTGGTAATCGGTTTACTCGACCCCACAAGTCTCTTTAGATCAACCTCATTTCTTCAATTGAAGGATTGAGAATTACTTCCGAGGCCTTGTCGTTGACAGACGAGGCAGTATTTATGATAAACAAATTGCATTGCCTAGTAGACTTGTGTTTCCCGTCGGTAATTTTTATTGTGACCTCACCATTCTCAGGTGTTTCTTTCTCAAGCCAGGTCACGGTGCCAAGAGCTATAGCACCTGCTTCAGTTGATTTTATGAGGAAGCGAAAGGCTTTGAAGGCACATTTATTCTTGATCCGACGATACCGACTATTTTAAACCCGAACTATCGTGGGGTATCAGAAAACTTAACAGCCTTCTTCCAAGAATGGCTGTTTTTGCAGTCAGACTCCAATCATATATCCTATATCTTATAAATCAATATTTATCACAATTGAAGATATTTTTAGAACGAAATTCACCAAAACGACACGCCTTGTTGGGAAAATGACTGTTAAAACGTGCTTTACTTCAAAATTCACCACATTAGTCACTGATTTCGACGATTGTCGTTCCATAACACGTCTTTATTTCAGTCATACTGAAGATGCCCCTGTCATACATATTACTAACGAAGTTTTATGACCAAGTGTCCTCAAAACTCCCTGAAAATGACTGTAATGGAGGTTGCTATGATAAAATCACTCATCGGTAAACTATTTCTGTGTTATTTATGTCCATATTCAATGATCTGAACTCAAAATTACGTGCCAGCGTCTATGACTACACATTTTCCCTCGATTTAATGATTCATTTCAGTGTCTTATTCAAGCGCGAAGATCATCTAAAATGGGCTTAAGTAGGACCAAATCTTCCCCTTTGCTTTCCGCTTCTTTTGTTCATGCACTTCCAACCTGCACTTCAAACGCATACTATTATCACTATCAAGAATCGACAATTCTTCATCAACTTCAGCACTTTGCACATGCAGCAAACTCTCGACAATCCTTCCATCAAACATTCCATTTTTGCTTCTTCAAAACTTACATAATCTTGTGGCCAATTGCTGCTCAACCTTTGCCAAATCTTTGCCAGATCCTCAAAGAACATCAATTCAATTTCAATAACCTTCCACAGCACTGACGAGCTCTCAGCTACCCCTTCTTCGAAGCTCAATCGATCAAAGCCTCGTCAAAACCTTTCATCATGTTTGTGTCACCACCCCAGAAATTTAGTAGAAACGATAAATTTCTCAGAGACATGTGGTCAAGCTATCCGAGGATGAGCTTCAGATTTCACAGAGATCAGCTGGACGAAGAAAATGATGTGGTAGGGATTATTGACAACGAACTCAAGGAACATGAAAATGATACTAGATACAATACTAGTGCTAAAATCATGGCCATTTACAAGAAGCTTCCCAGGCGCTCTTCAGATCCAGATCCTGATCGAACTTTCATCATGAATAGGGCTCGCGCTTATTATGCGGGATACTTGAAAGATTGAAGACTGAAACATTCACGGATTTTCCCATAACCAATGAAAGAAAACTTCTCCAGGAGATTTATGAGGTGTGTGGTATGAGGTTCACAATTGCCGACCTTGGCAGCTATCATTTGCGTTACAAAAAACCGAACGAGGACCCGATTCTGGAGGAGCGGTCGTTACATTGGAAAAAGGAGTTCGATAATATTCGGTGTCGCGACGGCGAAAGGCCGGATGTAGTCGCAAGACTCGAGCACTTCTTCAAAAACACTCTTACACGACGGATCATGCCGTTGAACTCTATTACAAGACGCAAATCGAGCGTCCAAATAATGCTGAGAGAAATTACCCTCGTGTGCCAAGGCAGACTAAAGAAGAGTTTCAGGCGAAGCAAAGATACAAAATGGCAAGTTATATCAGAAACTTTCTTCAAAATAACATAAGCTAATCAAGCCAGTATTACTGATATATATCATGTCTCAATGGAGATAGCTTAGAGGTTGCAGAGAGGAATATTGGAAATGTGGTCTTCTTTCACCCTTGGTCTTTCTTGTGTCACGAGTCTTTATCGTTGCTTTTGAAGTCCCTTTACATTCATGTAATCGGCTTCCACATCTCATATCGTTGGGTTTGGGATTCAGAGCTTAGGCCAGCACGTGCAAAATCCATATTCCTTTCTCAGACGGGCTTCCAAAAGTTGGAGCTGGATTTGAACATTAGCTAGATTTTAATTTCAATGCTCAGATTAAACAATGATATGGAAATTCATTACTTCAATCTGAGTTCGTGAACCAAACATGTTAGTTGATTTCAAGTTAGACATTGAAATTCACTCTTGAATAGGGGAGAATTTGGCCATTTGTGGGAATACTCAACGTCGGAGTCAAATTTGAACATTGGAAAAATCACAAACTTTTCTCGCACTAGCTTTGGACATCACTGAGTCAATGTCTATGTTAGTCATAAAGATCTAGGTGGCGCTCTTGTAATTGCTTCACTCGTATTTAGACATCTTAGTGCCATCTGGGGTTGCAGCAATAATGTCACTGATTCATATTACATAGCGCAGTTAGCTCCAAATAAAAGAATCACATTAAACTGAGCTTTTCTGTGATTTTAACCCTCTATCCTTATACAATAAAATAAAATCGACACCTTAAAACAAAAGAATTGGCCAGTTGCTTGCGCGTAGTCTATCCATCATGATTCTTGAATCTTGGTGCATTTTCTGGTAATAATATGGAAGCGTTTGTATCTTCGTCTCCGTTTTAACTTATCAATCACAGTTTGGTTTACAATATCCCAATGGCAACTTTGAAGCCTCTCGATTAGCATTTAAGGTTTTGCTGAGGAAAGGAATAGTAACATCTCACCTGTTGACTAGAACATGAACTACCCTTCTGACAAGTTGCATCATCCTGAATAAGGATTCGAGGATCCATCCATTGTGTTGGTTCCGAGCCTGGCGCTGCTGCCACGCTTGTCGCTGCCCAGCCTGGGGCCCACTTTCTCTGTGAAAGTAATCTGTTAATTATTTTTCCTTATGTTTTCTTCCCTTAATGTCACTTACCAGAACGTCTAAGAGAGCTACACCTTGATCCTTAGAAGAAGCTGTCAGATCCAACACCACATATGTATCATTTATACCTCCGTAACTTGGATAACACCAAAGTGACATTGCATATCCATTTTGTCTCCTAAAAGCATCATCAATTGCATTTTTGAGACCAGGAACACATTCAAGGTCCTTAGTCTTGCTCGAGTGTGCGGGGGACGAATCTGTGTTTCCAAAACCATTCAAGTTGAGAACGTAGCTTCCGTTAACGAGAGAATCTGATACTTTCGTAGTGTTGTAAGAGCAGCAGAAGGAAGGAAAGGGTGTTGGCTTACGCTAACAATGTCGGGGGGATCACGATATGTAGTTGTAGACTCAGCAGTATCACGGAGGACGAGGCTTTCAAGAGTGGTAGGGGCTGGTGTAATTTGTGGTGAATAGATCTCCGGGTCACCCATGGCTGTAGTCGAGAGAGCCGACAAAAAAATTGGTAAAAGTGTATAGATAAACATGTTTTGATGAACGAAAGTATAATGTATCGAAAACGAATAGTTGATATAAAGACAAGTGTCTAGATAAGCATAAATGAAGGTTAATTACTTAATATTCTCAAATTGCCCATCTGAGTCTATATAAACAATCGCGACGCAAACAGAAGCGCTTTCGACAGACTTACTCTTGGCTGCCAAGTTTATTGGATCTCAATGGACGCGCTGGTAAGGTGATGTTGGAACGAAATCCTGGGGTATCGTTGAAGCCACTGCGGCCATCTGCTAAGCGGAGGAGCAATGACCCCAATAATTGATGGAGCCTAAATTTGGTACGAAAAATGAATTGCGTCAATGTCAGGTAAGCTTAAAAGAGGCGGCTGAACAAGTTCGAAATGACAATTAGACGCCTCATTTGAAATGCTTTGAAAATATAAGAGTATTGGATCCTCAAACACAAGTACGACTGCAGGGCCATATATCGTCCGATGACTGCGTGGATGAATCCGGAATTGAACGTGCAATACCGATTGCAGAGTGTAGGCAAGGCAACCGTTTCGCCGCGTCGAATTGAATCCTGTATTGGTTATCAGTCTCGAATTGTTGGTAGAGACTTGAGTGAGGCTAATCCGCTTGCACTATCTTTTATGATTTTCAATTCATTAACCGCCAACGGAGTGAGCATCGAGGTCTTATTTTGGTGATTAGAGGGCTTTATGAACGGTCCTTCACCTCCATGACTGAGTAGAATGCTCAGGCAAATAAAGCTCTCGGTTTTTGTGTAAGTTTATGTGGTGTTGATCCGTTGAGATTTACAGGAGACATTGATCTATCGTGATTTACTTGGTCTTAAAAGTATATCGCATCTTCAAATCCGGCTGGCGATTGACAGCAGCTCCTTGATTCGAAAATAGCTTGTTTGTGATTGCCGTTTCCCAGAAGTGCCGACGTGTAGACTGAATGAGGATCATCGAGTACTTTTGCAATCGGACTACCTTTGAGAAGTGACGCACCACCCAATAGCCTAGTGTGCTGATGGTCGATATTGGCGATGTTTAGTGAACTGATGTTGGGAATAGCGACCCGACATGTGAATAGAGCCGATGCGACTAGGCAAGATACATGAAGGCCTTCAATAAATAGTCTCACTCATCATAGGAGTTTCATACCCAGACGAGGCAAACACACGAGCGGCGAATTCTGCGATAAGCATCGCCACAATTCTTCAATTGCCATCTATAGGTCTACCAAGATGAATTGCGCTTTGTAAATTTTGGAATTCAAAAGACCTATTGGCCTTGTGAAAGCCTTCCAGTTCAATTGCTGAAACTATTCTGGCTACTACTTGTGATAATCTTCTTGATGTCACCTCATGATGATCCGGCTATGTAGTCATTGACTAATAAACAAAAATGGCAGAACGAGACCGAGAAATTCGATGGGAGGACTTCAGTCACTAAACCGGCCTCGTGTGCCCAAATGAAATTTGAGGAATCATTACTGTAAACTGATAATTGAACGTTAGGCGTCAAATTGGTGTCGAATCTGGTAATGTATTGCTACCACCCATCTTCATGTTATTAATTTCAAAATTTCTATACCTCTGATCGATGTCTGCCGTGATCCAAGCGACGTTGGCCATTGAAGAACCATGGATGATAAAACTGTAACCACTGAAGACTGAGGGATCACTTGGCCCCAAAGGCGGTTCTCGTTCTCAAGAATTCAATTATTCTTTGGAAGATGCTTCATCATAATATCATGCCAGTGGGAATCAAACACCTAGCAGTCCGTTGAGATGTCCCTACGGTTAGTTCCAGATTCTGGTATCTGGCAATCTGTATTCGACACATGACAAGACTTCTTTGTCCGCTTATTGACATGTTAGATGTGTGCTATAGATGACTGAAGAAATGAATTTTTTCTTAAGATAGGACTTAGTACTCGAGATTGGGTTGAAAATTTTGAAATCTGTAAAACCATATTTAGGAATTCGACTGAAAAATTGCAGCTGTACTGTTCTCTCCGTAGATTATGCAAGACCCAATGGTACAAGGCCGCTTTGAACAGTCTGCGCCATAGTCGAGCTTGGGGATTCAGAGAGAAGCCCAATGATACTGACCAAGCTCAACAGTAATACAGTAAGGCAAGTCATTATAACCCTTGGTCTTCTTATAGTATATGCGGCTTTGGCGAGACTCGTGAGACTGTCGCATGAAAGGAAAATAACTATCTCGAGTCTGTCAACCAAAGGCCTGCGTCACCTGGAAATCCAAGCGTACCTCACTTGAGGGTCATACTCGCCGACTCATCACATGCCATTGGACATTGAGGGCTATCCTTTTCAAAGCACTGGAAACATTAGGACTCAAAGATCATAGAGACCCTTAGGTTTATCGCACAGAATTTGGTTACGTGGATGTGCGAAAGCATTTCTTGAGACTTAGAATATGAGATTGAATCTACAAAAATCCGTCTCGTAACCGCAATGATACAACTACAAGTGATCATAACGCCCTCAGATGGTAGTTGCGAGGCACAACTGTCGCATCATGATCAAACTCATACGTAACATGATATCTGGCCCCAGAAGGTACATCAAACGACGTGACATCGCGTCCTTAAGAATTTTCCATGGACAAATTGAGAACTACTTGATAACGCGAGTGTGTAGCAGATGTGAGGGCATCCATCGACGCATTCAGACCCGAGAGCAACTTGATCTCGGCCACCAAGGCACAGTAACTGTACTCGAACAGGCACAGCTTTCATGCAAGAGTAAGCAAAGCGTGAAGAGAAAACATTCCATGAAATACAAATTCAAACATTTTGAGCCCGCGTGCCAGCATCGCTGTTTTTAAGGTCTTCATCAATGATACTGCCGATCAATCAGTAGTCTTTCACAGAAGTGGGGTTGGTGGGGGTTTAGTGGTGGGGTTGAGAGATATTTCATCATTCCTTCCTCCACCTTGAGATGTAATAGCTCGGAAATCCTACTATCCAGCTGAGAAAAGGCCGGATACCAAAATTCTACATCTCAATCAAAATCTAATATCAAGAAATGAAAACAATATCCCTTTGTGAATTATTGACTATTAATAATTCATCATGAATAAAATTCAGATTCTTGATTTCAAATGAATTAAAATATAGAAAAAATTTACCTCGAATTTTGAAAATCTCGTTTCTAGGTTTTCTCTTACTTTTGCGGATTTGATACCCGGTTCTTTCTCCGGATCGCGAGCCAGGTACTAAATTCCCCCTCCCCCACGTTTAAGAAGCCACGTCTTAATAAAGTCTGCTTGTCCCTTCATTTTCATATCAATCAATCAAATAATACCAACAACATACCAACACACATAATCAAATACAAACACAATGGCCGACACAAGATTCAAGCTCAATACCGGTGCTGAGATTCCGGCATTAGGACTCGGTACATGGCAATCTGAGCCGGGTGCAGTTGCGAAAGCCGTTTCTTACGCACTGTCGATTGGATACAAACATATCGATTGCGGTATGACCTCCTTCTATTTGCCTTCTGCTCTTTACTTTCTACTTCTGTGAAGATGGGAATATGTGTAATACTAGCTAACAAACTCGTGCAGCATATGTCTACGGAAACGAAGAGGAAGTAGGACAAGGACTCAAAGAAGCCTTCGCATCCGGAGTTAAGAGAGAGGATATATTTATTACTACCAAATTATGGTGTACATATCATACAAGAGTTGAAGAGGCTCTTGACAAGAGTTTGAAGAGGTTGGGATTGGACTATGTCGATTTATATTTGATGCATTGGCCAGTTCCTATGAACCCAAATGGTAGGGAAATTTTCCTCACTTACGCCGTTACCCCTTCATTTTCATCGCGTAATAATGTCTAACATTTCAACCAGGTAACCACGAATTGTTCCCCAAACATCCCGATGGCTCCCGCGATCTTCAAACGGAATGGTCTCACACCCAAACATGGCAAGAACTCGAGAAAGTCTCCAAGACCGGTAAGACAAAGGCTATCGGAGTTTCCAACTACAGTGTAAAGAATTTGGAAGAATTGTTTGCGAAGGCTACTATCACCCCAGCCGTCAACCAAATTGAAAACCATCCTTCATTGCCTCAACAGGAAATTTACGATTTGTGCAAGTCAAAGGGAATCCACATCACAGCTTATAGTCCTCTTGGAAGCACTGGTAGCCCATTGTTCACCGCTGCCCCGATTGTTGAGGTTGCGAAGAAGAGGGATGTACCACCAGCTTCAATATTGCTTAGCTACCATGGTAAGACCCCCTTGAGTATGCGACTGCCGTTGTAAGTTATGCTAATAAACAATAGTTGCTCGGGGAAGCTCGGTCCTCGCCAAGTCTGTTACTCTTGATAGAATAAAGGCAAACATGAACATCGTAAAATTGGACGACGCGGACATGAAGATCTTAAATGATTACTCAGATGACCTGGCGAAGAATGGAAAACTCATGCGATATGTATTCCCGGCATTCGGTATTGACTTGGGGTTCCCAGATAGAAAGTCTTAGTTAGAGAATTTGAGCTCATATCGAAGAAGGTTCCTTTAAATGGGAATTGGCAGAAGAAATACCAAGATCCATGAATTGGAGTTTCGCAATCTGTATATGGTAATGTATATAGAAATTAGATTATAATGGGGAGACTTGTTGAGCAGATTAACCTTAGTCTTGGGACTGCCTGCTCTTCAAGCTTCCTCTAAACGTTCCAACCAATCAATCATCAATATCATGACATGACTATCTCATCCTGTGGGAATCGTGAAAGAATCTGATGACCGACTAGTGGAAATATCGAATTTATTTCTTTTCCGAAAAAGCGGGTGAAGAGTTAATAAGTCGAGGTGTCTGCAGAATTTCCGATGCCTAGAAAATGCTCAGGTAGCGGCTCAACACTTGGCCCGAGTACTCGGATATGATACCCCCTAGTAAATATGTCCAATCCAGTGCATTGGAGACGGTAAAGTCAGATTCCGAATAGGCCGTAGAAGAGAATTTCTGAAGGATTCTGAGTGAGGAGAAAGTGGGGTGGAGTGGAGATCTTAAGAGGCTGAGTGCAGCGGTAGTGGGTTGATTCGGCGGTCACAACATCATCCAAGAAATGGAATGAGTTTGTTCAGCTCAACGAACAAGAATTTTCAAATTTTCTAGGCACTTAAAAATAGAACCATGAAGTAGTGGCGATGGGTTGAATTTGAGGTTTGGAATGATAGCTATTGTCCAGGAGAAGGACGTGGCACAATAATTCAGCCAGCATAACTAACATTCGGGATAGACGTCATATACCGAAAAACATAATCAAATGATGATATTGCGTCTAAGCCGTAGAGAAGATGAAATCGTCTAGGCAGCTATTAAAATATAGATTTCTCCACTCAGGTCTCAAAGAATGATATAAACAAATGGAGAACTTATGAAGATATACAGCTGAGCTGCATCAGATGCGTGGCGGCTGTTGTTCGGCTATTAGACAGTGATGCTAAAAATAAAGAAGCTTGACTTCAGGCGATCTGACGCCAGCACTATGATTTCTTCTTACTTGCATAGCTAATTATCATAGGCCAGTTACGCAATAGACCTACACGCAACTCTTTGATTAGTGACACCATTGATATCCAGAAAGCCGCAGAAATAGCTGCATATATTTCACGTGATGTGAGGGGATAGACTAACCAATCGACGTCGAAAAGTCGGCAAAAAGTCGACCTAACGAAAAGTCTAGCTGTCAGTTTGTAGCTTGCTGCAGGGGACAATCCTGAAACATACACAAGACACAAGAGTTATTGAGCTTCGAGAACGACTTCGAGAAATTCCAGTCAATCATGTTATGCCATACTGTCTTTTTTTACGTTGAGAACAACCAGGAGTTGAATCCTTCGTCGCGTGGATTAAAGGCGGGGAAGCGCCAAGGTTAGAGTGCTGATGCTGTTAATGAGGTGTTGCACATGCCTAAATGCCCTATCTAATTTAAGATTAAGCTTCTCTTCAGGGCTGTGGGATCCCGTCCATTATCGAACATAATCTTCACGTCAGTGGTGGACGCAAGCTTTCCCAAATATTGCAGCTCCACAAGTTATTCAGTCATAATTTGTATAGGGAGCAGTGGGAGCCTTTTCTTTGCATAGAACGCTAGTCATTTGGTCGCTAGGCTGGCCTATTAAAGTTTGATGGGTTGAGGCTGAGTGGGATATGATTCATCATTTTGCTGATGCGTTGTCTCAGTAAGTGAAGAGCAAATGGGCAATTATTGATGCGGTACGACATGGTTTTGAATAGGGTGACTGGAGAAAGATTCGAAGAATGGATACGTCGTGCAACCATGGAGCTATTGATTGGTTACAGCTTAAATGGGTATTGTTTGGGATGCGAGGCTTGTTATACACAGCCGTTGTTCTCTTTCTTTTGCTTCAATGTCTCTTCATTGTTGATCTCTTATATATATATAGATCTCTCTCTATTTGTTACTTTCGAGGTTTTCTTCAAAAGCTCCATATTAAACCTTATCTTGAAGTGCATTTATATCATTCTTTGCACACTATGACGAGCCAACATCCTTATGCCCCTTGGCGGAGACTGATCCTCATACCTTGCTGGATCGTTCAAATTCTGTTCCCCGGCTTTACTTTTGGAGTAGTTGCTGTGGCTATTGCTCAAATCATGAGCAATGATTTCGATAATGATGACTATGATAACGATGTCCGGACAGCTTTGAGGTAAGCATATCAACTTTATAGCTTGATTTTGGGCACGAATATTGACAGAACCTAGCATCGGATGGGTCTACATTGTATTCATTGGCTTGTGTATGATACTCACTATTGCAGAGATAGTTCTTATGTTCAGGCACAAGTTGAAGCCCATTGTTTTCCTCATGATGAACATATTCAAATGTGCAAGCTGGACAGCCTTGTTCGCTGTCAGCTTGTGGAACGCTTTCGGTGTCGTTAAGAAGACGATGCCGAGCATTGTTAGTTTAATTGTTGATATAATCATATTGTATGTCTATCTCCCCCTTTTCCTAGGTGCAGAAATTGAAGCCCTCGCTAATATGACCTTCGCAGACTCGCCTTCTATATCCCTCTAGCACATGGCTCCCTGATCATTCACCGCAACCGCAAAGCTGCGCAATATGAACCTGTCGACCTCAAACATAACAGCTTTGACTCCACTACCGAATTATTTCCCGATGCCTTCCCTCAGGCATTCAAGTCCTTGACCAACATAGAAGAAACCACCGACCTAGAAGCAAATGATCACACTACCGGACGACCCCGCCGACTGAGTTACAATCATACAAGAGATACTAGATTCGACTCGTACAAACAAACACGAAGAAGTTTTTCAGATCCATATATTGCTGAGAGAATGATTGCTAGTCCAAGGCAAGCTTCGATATCTACAGTCACGACAAGAAGCAGAAGTAGTACGTTAGGTTTACCGATACCGCAGGTCGTGGTGCACGATCATGATGAATTTATGGAGAGGAATAGGGTCAATGGGATAAATTGAGGGGAACAAACAAGTGCTTATATATGGGTGGCGTTTGGGGACATTTTATGACCGAATGTTTTATACCAAGGGTTTGTTATTGGACTTAAATTCTTATCATGCTTTCTTGTATATATATGGTTGGCTTTGCCATAGGACATTGAGCTCCGGGTGCTCATTTATTCAGATGAACTGGAAGACTATAGATAATTCAATTTTGTTGAATTGCGATTTCGAATAAGATTGCTTTCAAATCCATCTTGCACTGAGGTAAGATATATGCAGAGATTGAACAGTCGCAGCACGTGTGTTAAATTTATTTCTCGATGAAATTTTAAACTTTCAATGCCCCTTCATCCTACGCGAATGCTACTAAAACCTCCCAGAAATACTGGAATACCACAAATACGCTCACAACGCACCAAATTTTTTCTGCAACCATGCGGGTTATAAAAGAACAAATCGCGTTAGACTGTGTTTAGGATAGCTTTCATGATAAGCTCATTCGGACGTTCGTGTTACTCGAGATATGCCCCTAAGACGGATGGAAGTGTTCAGAGTATCGAAACCCTCTTTCTAATCTGCTCATGTCAAAACAGCATATTAGCTTCAGCAGACCAGGGAGGGTCAATTGAATATATTGCTAGCGTCCTTTCACAAGGATTATGGCATTTATGATAGGAAGAGGGCATTGGAAGCGTAATAAAAAGAGTCAAGGTTCAATCATTGTGTTTAGTGGATTTATGTGAAGATTACCGGGGCAGATACTGGAGATTCAGAAATAAATCAAAAATTAGCAGTTTCTAGGACAAACCTTAGGAATATACCCCAACGAAGATCAGAAGAGAGTGGAGAGATTAAAGTTGACCAGGAACAGGAGGGGTACCATAATGGATACTTCAATCGCTTCCGCCAGAACTTGTGAAATTATGAGGGGTAACAATAAACCAATCGGACCTCTGCAGTGGAGTTTGTGAATCCTTACACGAAATAAATGGTTGTGGTTGGAAGAAAACGGTTGTTCCTGAAAAAGGACTTTAGAGCCGAGAACTCTGGATTAATCTACTTGCTAACACGATAAGGTATTGACTGATGATAAACGCTTTCCGATAAGCCCACAACATCGATTGGAAATTTGTTATTGATATATACCTCGTAATGATGGGTTCCATTTAGCAGCTTGAAATAGATTACTACTGTCTGTTTTGAGTGTTTGAATTACAGGACTGAGGACTTCAATCGACGAATTTCCATGCTAAAAAAAGACCACACCTGCAGGTCCCCTTGCTGGAAGCGAGACAACGAATCCCATCTGACGTCTACTAATGCCCAATTGGCCCCGTTATGGTACAGTAGTGCCAGTGCAACGTATCTCCATACAATTGATCAAACGAAAAAGAAGGCTGGAAATAACCTTGGAAATCACTCTGGGCCGTCACAAAACGTGTTTTACAGGTATCCTGAAGCACCAGAGCATCATGTCGTTCACAATGAGGCGAATTAGACGCTTTCCCAGCCACCCTTTTTGAATGAGACCCTGCGCGAAAAACCCTTCACGGCGGCGACCTATCACCAACATCCAGCCATCTTTTCGACCTGCCACTCTTTTAACTCATAGATACTTGCTCTGCGCACAAACCTGGAAGATGCATTCCTTAATTAATTGCTTGTGTTATCATTGGCGGAGTTGCTTACAGGATGATGAATCTTGGATCTTTGGATTTACGAAGAGTGAAGCGTGAGTTTTTCCCTATTCACCTCACCTATTTTCCTACCGTCTATGTATTTTACTTTTTGGGGTTCAATTGCTTTTTTTGTTTTTACTGACATAGACCCTGTACATAGACTCACGACCACAGCTGCAACAAGTGCAAACGTCAGAATTGCTGAGCGGTGTGGATGTGCGCTACGGAGAAAACACACCGTCACTTCCCTCGAGTACTTCTGATGTCGCTACGGTGACACGGTGGGCAACCCCTCCATCTCGTTTTCGCACTCCGGAGCAAAGCCACGAAAACTTGGAAGATTCGGTAGAGACTCCTTTGATCAGTCCAAGTGACTTGAAAGCTTCTCATCACAGATACAATAGCAATATGGTTCGATTTGACGAACAGCAGATAAGAGGTATGGAAGCCGAAGCCTCAGGGAGACCGAGAAGAATGTCGGATCAGGTAGAGGATGAGAGTCCACCGACTCCCAATAATGACGATACACCATTTATCCGATTCGCGATCGATCAATTGACGAGGGATGAGGAAGCGAGACGCGAAGCAAGAAGAGCTCAACAACTCGAGCAAGGCCAACAACCAACCAATTCGCAAAGCTCCGAGGAGTATCCAGTGGAGCGAATTATTCCAGATGATAACCGTTATATTCCCCAACGCCCAACACGAGCAGAACTCGCACTCATCAGGAAACATCGTTCTACGCCTGGACCCGGACGATTATTCGGATTCAACGCTACGCCACCCCTCTCCACACCACCCACCGAAGAGGAAGGGAGAATACCCATCAGAGCACCCCAACCCGCCCGCTCACCTCCTAATGAAAAAGATGCCGAAATATTCATCCCCACACAACCTCCTCCAAACACCAAACGATACCCGGAGCTCAAATTTCTCCCCACGATCTTACGACCTATTTCTTTGCTGGCGATTATTACATTATGTCTGATGATGACTGCAGCGATTATGTTTTGCGCCATCTACGCGAATTATCACAATGGTCTTTATGCATGGAAGACCGGTGTTGACGGGGGTCGATATTTTATCTTCGGATTCTTACCACAGATTCTCGGCGCGTTTATATTTTTATATGTTCAATACGTCATGGGTGCCATTACGCGAACAATGCCATATGTACTAATGGCGATGGAAGATGCGGAGCCCCGCACCAACGCATTATTTTTGGAAGCTTTTCCTCGCCACATGTTGTGGCCGCGATGGGACGGTCCCATGATGATTGATATCGGGGTATCGTGTTTATGGTTATCGGTATTCACGATTCCGCTGCAGGGATGCTTGTTTTCCGTCGTGCTCGTAGAGGGAAATTGGAAATGGACTGCTGTGCAAGGGATTGCGTGGACGTTAGTTGCGATTTACATATCGATGTGTATGGGATTAGTTCTTATCGGAGCTTTTTTCTTCCGTCGAACAACGGGATTATTATGGGATCCGCGATCGTTGGCTGATTTGATTGCGCTATTACCACGAAGCAATAGTCTGAGGGATTATCCAGGCACCGAGACCATGAAAACTAAACGAGAGATCAGAGTTAAGTTAGCCGATCGGAGCGATCGCTTGGGATACTGGAGAACCCCTAGTCCGACACAAGGAATTTTCTATTCGATTGGAGAAACAGGCGCGCCTATAAGACGATATACATTAGAAGGCGGGAAAGCAGAGAGAAAAGTAAGCAGCGGTAGCGGCCTGCCTGATCTGGAAGAAAATCGTCCATTTCTTCATAATACCGCCACTCGATCCCGATACATTCCATGGTTTCTGCGCGATACATTCGTAGTTCTATGGTCTGTTACTGCTTTTTTCCTCTTACTGGCTTTGATCATCGTATCATTCCTTCCATCCACAGCCATACGCCACGGATTCAAACCCCTGGTTATTGCCGATCCCAACGGATCCGGATATTCCGCCGCAAACTTCCTATACAGTTTCATCCCCTCTCTACTCGGAATGATTCTCTATCTCCTCTTCCAGCCCATCGACATGGCCTTCCGCAAACTGCAACCCTGGGCCGAACTCTCCAAACCCGATGGTTCCCCCGCCGTAAAATCTCTCCTGCTCGAATACCCCGCATCTCTCCCCACCCAAAGCGCCATTACCGCGCTTGGAAATGGTCATTTCCGAGTCGCCTGGTTTTCGCTCGTCTCCTTGCTCTTCATCATCCTTCCCATTCTCGCAGGAGGATTATTTTTCCCCTTGACGATCACTTCGGGGGAAGTCCGCATGCTTCCCAATCTTCCTTCTTTCTATATCTGCCTCGCTTTTCTCATCATTTATTTCCTGACTCTTTTGCTCACGATCCCGAAAAGACGCACCATGCATTTACCACATCCGATCGATTGTCTAGCTGAAATAATCAGTTTTGTGCATTCAAGTAATATTCTTGATGATGCGGCTTTTAGCGCTCCTCGATCGAAAATAGATTTGGTAACGAGACTCGTGAGTACATCTTCGCACTTCAAGGGAGAAGGAGAGAAATATGTATTTGGGGTTGGGATGGGGAGAGGTGGAAAAGAAGGCTTGGGAATTGAGCGGTTAGGAAGAAGAGGGGTTGATAATGTTATGATTATGGGGTGATTAGCGGATTGGAGGGCGGATAGGATGATTGGATGACTGGATGATGGCTTATGATTTACTTTTTAATGATTGATGAATGCTTGGATAAAGCTAATGTGATGGATGAATGGACGGGTATTTTGTCTTGGAATGGAAATCTCGACTTTGGTCATGCGCGGTGTTTGGAATTGGGAAAGCGTGGTGATATAAAACTAGATGAAAAAAGATGATATGAGATGGTGTCAGAATGGACGACAGACACGGATATGGACAACAGAGCACGTCGCCCACAGGCCTCCAAGTCGAATACTTGAGCCGGGATAGCGAGGACTGGACTTTATTGCAGTAGCGTCTATAATCTAGTATAAAGAAATTCTTCCTCCACTTGAAGCCATCTTCGAACTTTGCCATTCACCATTCACCATTCACCATTCACCACATCTCATATGTCTACGTGCTTGTAGTTATATAGAAGCGAAGAGTGAAAATAGAAGTAGCACATTCTCAAACCCCTCAGAGTAGCATACGACGAGGCTTATCTCGGACATTAGTATACAAAAGTAGATATTGGGAGGTATCACACAGCAAGTCATCAAGCAAAATGGACTGTTACCATAAAGATTAGCAATTAGGCAGCGCGATCAGCTACTCATACAACAGGATGCTTTTCACACGAACTAGCGACCATTAAAAGCCTTTTCACACGTATGTTGTCCCTTTTCTAAAGGCGTAGAAAGACCCATCCGTCACCATAATTGCATTGCAAAGCCGAATTAGATGCAACCATGATGAAGATATGTGAACGGATCTTCCACTCCAGCTTCAAGCAAAATTGGAACAACAGCAAGCCAAAACCACAATAGTACCAAGCAAAACAATAGTTAAAGCCACCATCTTCTTCGAGAACTAGAAAGCCTTCCCAAATTCGTTTTTCTGGGCTAATCCATATTACCCCTTATCAATGGAAGTTGAAAGCCAAAACCTTCTTGAGAAATGCGGTCAGTAAAGCCAGAAGTTGAAATTCCATCGCCTCCCACTCCGCCTAGAAAATTACATCATCTCTATCAATCTTACAAATGTTTCTCTCTCATTTTCTGAATTATTGCAAGAGCCAAAGAAGATACGCGTAGACAGTAACAAAAAGCAATCGATCGTGCCGAGGAAATAGGATTTCCATCATAATCAAAGAAAAAGGTCGAAAGTGTACAAGCAATTATTAGACGGGTCTTTCCCGCAAGAAAGGACTCCATGATGGTGAAGAGTAATACTTTTGTTGAATAGCTTTAAGAAGACTCTCTGGAACGCCATTTAATGTATCGCTCTTGGGAACGATCGAGTCTTGATTCGTCGATCGGGTCGTTTTGATAAGAGACAGATATCGATAACTAATTTCAGAGGCATTGAGAGGCTCTCAACTATTGTTGTGTGCGTACTAAATAAGCGGTGAGAATCTAGTATCGCTGAATTCGATCGCTACCAGGCGCTGGGGCATCGTTTGATACTCCCCTTGTTTCTTCGAAGAAAGAATCATTGCCTCTTGCACTGGTATCAATGTGCCAGTCTGGACTTTTGGCATATCTAATGAATGGTGACGTGAAATTGCCATCTTCTTGTTGAGCTCTGATGGCGAATAAGTTGCCAAGAGTTCCATCTATTAGTGGAGCGATCACTTCGGGGATGGTTTTCTTTTCCATTCTTGTGATAGTGATACCGGGAAGAGGTCTGTTGTCGAAAAGCGAAATTTTCTTCGTGGGAGGACCGATAGGCCCGAAAGGATTGGTATGGATTTCAATTTCTGCGATATGCTCCTGAACTGTCATGTTCCATCGTTTCTGGCCACTGTAAAACCACTCATCCTTCTCCTTTTGTTTTCTTGCCCGAGCTTCCTCTGGAGTCTCTTCATCCTCAAGAAGTCCCATTTCTTTTTGTACATCAATTGACAAACGAGTGAATCTCCCGGTCATATCACTGGGAAAACCGTGGGGATAGTACTGGCGGGCTTGTTGCATAGAAATTGTATCTGTTGCGCGTGCAGAAGGAGCTTGTGCTGGTACCTGAGCACTATACTGCTCGTTGAAAACTTTTGATTCTTGCCATGGGGAGACAGGCTCGATGCTTGTGTGAGAGTTTTGTTTCGCTCCAACCTGGTCTTGCGTCCAAGCCTCCTCACTATAAGTACTATTCTGTCTATTATTAGCATACGAGCGCTGTCCTGGTGGGCCGGCAGTCAATGGTTGTGGATAACCGGGTACTCCTCGATGATTGGCAGAATCTCTTGAATGACTGTTAGATCCCGAATATGCGTTGTAGAGCGGATTGTATGCCGTATTGGAGATACCTGGTGGAGGGAATGTATAGGTCCGGTCGAGTTCCCCGTTTTTCTCCGCTTGTGTACCATCTAGCATGGTGTTATCTCTTGGGTTTCGCAAGAGGCACTCTAACCGTTGGCTCGCAACTTCAATGTCTTCACTTGACTTTGCAGTCTTGTCGGCTTTGGGTGCTTGCAACTCGGACAATCGACGTAAAGCTGAGGTTTGCATTGGATTCGGGAATTTCGCAAGTCTCTGTAAGGTCTGCATCTTCTCAAGACCTGATATGGGGCCTTGCAAATCACCCCCCTTTGCCATTTCTTGCTCCTCATTCGACATTGACGAGACGTTATTTTGATGGAAAGTGGGAGTCGGTGTGTTGGGAGAGACAGGATAATGACCATTAGATACTCTTGCATTGATCATCCCCTGAAGTCTGAGAAGTGTATGGTTCTCTTGCTCTGACTGGGACAGTCTCTGAGAGGCCCGCAGAGAGCGAGTGGATCTCGCAGATGTAGCTGGCGGAGTGCTGAAAGAACTTGGGACCTGACCGAGTTGTTGCGCATAGTGCATGGAGTTTTGCATATTCAAAGGAGGTGGCGGACCACGGGTGTGTGGATAATAGTTTGTTTGTCTGTTATGAGTTGGATCCAACTGAGGTCTGCGAATAGAACCCTCACGTTGAATACGATTAGGGGCGGAGATTTGAGGTTGTATGTTAGGATTGACACGAGATCCGACAGTAGTGTAAGCCACAGGCTGTACTTCAACTGATAATGGCTCAGGAGAGTTATTGATTGAGCGAACAGGAAGATCTGGATCCCATTCTACCGAATCAAACCCATCGTTGACATTGGTGATATCACTCAAGCTTCTCACCATCAATCCTGTTGATGAAGCAATGCGAGCCATAACTGCTTCGCTCCTGTCCTTGACCGATTGTGTATCGGAATTATCACACTTCAAAAGGTCAAGAGAAGGAGAGTTTAGACTAATACCACTATCAATCGTACAGAGAGTTTGCGTTCTGCTTTTATCAGTGGATAAATGTGAAAAAGACGAAACCCTGGAGACTCCTGGCGGAGGTTGTATAACTACTGTTGAAGGAATTGGATCAATGGAAGGGGTATCCGTCGTAGTGACAGTGGTAGTGGCAGTGGTACCAGTTGTCGTCGTCGTAGCTTCAACAGTAAAAATTGATTGGACGATATTGTTGTTGATATTTTCTTTATTGCTGTCGTCTTCCAAATCCTTCTCTCGCAAGATATCATCAGAATCTTTCAATTCCACTTCGGTAACCTTCAAACTCTTTTCCAGATATTCAATGATTCTTCTTGGTGCCGGTGCGGTGAAAGTAAATTCTGTGTAATTTCGTTTTGGTGGTGGAATTGTGTTGTGGGGAGAAGGGATATCGAGAGATGTTTCGAATTGTGGGGTCGATGTAGGTGAAATAGGACGTGATGAACTTGCACTTCCTACCAATTCTGGATCAATACCAACATCACTAGTAGTTTTACTGTGAACCAAATCCGCATTTACCCCCTCGTTCGTAATTACACCATCATCATTTAAACCTGCACCTCCATTATCGGCATCAATTGCTTGGTCATCATTGATTGTCGATGATGAATATTTTGATTTCAAATTCTTCTTCTTCTTAAAAGTATATTTGAAAGGTCCGAGTGATTCAAGAGTCATTGGCCCTCCTAATTTCACATCTTGTCCTTCGTCCAAGGCCTCATTTCGTCGACGTGATCTTGATGGTCGAGCAGCCATGATATCCGCGTACGTAGTATCAAGAGAGATTGGTGTTGTCGTAGTAGAATTTGCAGGATAATCGGCTCGCAGTGATTGTAGTCTTTTTTCGTATTCCAGTTGATCTTCTATTTCTTCTTGGGCTGATTTTTTGATAATAAAATCTGGTGATTTGATTCCGTTCTCCGAACCCAAATTTGCGTGAACGCTCTCTGCCGGTATGGTTTGTATATGCGAATGATTTGCAGGATTGGGCCTGCTACTGTATTCCCTCAGAGGGTTCGAGGTACCGTGTGAACTGTCTGATATTGAGTAAGCTTGCCATATTGGACCTCGAAGCAAAAGTGAGAATGGAAGGGGCGATAACGATCTTCACTTGTACTTACGAGCTCTTGTAGTGCTACGTCTAGAGCTGGAGGTCATGGTTATTACCAATTTGCCCATTATAGTGATGTCTGTAGTGATCTGTACTCTTTTGATAATCAAATTATGGTGAACGGTCTGGTGGCAGGAAGCTGGCCAAAATATATCAAAGCAAACTTACGATCTTATTTGGACCAGAGCGGTAGCGATCGAAGCCTTTATTGTTCTGGCCAGAACGAACCAGATTGAAAAGAAGGTTCAGTCTATATTTATACCAAGTGTTGTTGCTAATCAAGTCAAGGCGAAATGTCAAAGATTTTGGTAAAGGTTGACCTTTATCCGAGTTCGTTTAAGTTAAATTCAAGAGCCTCCAATCAGAAGGATGGTGAAATAAATTCGCCTGAAGTGATTAAATGGCAAGAGCTTGAAATTAGTCACGACAAAGATTTTGTGATTGTTGAGACGAGAGTAATATGAAAGTTTGAATTAACTAGAGGTACTGAGATGCTAAGATATTCCTAGCAGCAGACATTCCAGAGGTCTAGTCAATACTACAAATACCATATATATGTGAAGCCATGCCAGTGTAAAATAGCTCAGCACAATACACGTAAAGCAGTTCTCAAAGCCACTCCCTGAAACCTCCGTCAATATCTTGCAATGAGATACCTTGCCAACGGCCATCCACTCGGAAACCATCGGCACTAGCAACTTCAACCACCCTTCAGCTAATTGACACGAAGTCATTCTTCATAAAAACAGCTAGACATAGCTCATTCATAGATGTCCGTGTTGACTGGCGGCAAGTGAATATGCTCACTGTTCGTGCCGGCGTTCTAGGTACCTTGCTATCCAAGAATGACAGGCAATTTGACAGTTCTTGCGGCGCTATTTAGGTCAGCAATTCTCAGCATTTGGACTCAAAAATATCTTTTGATCAGGGCGTCATAAGAACACAAGGGATCAAATGATGGTACCACATAGCCACGCCCACGCCCAGGACCTGCTACGCCCTTCGAATCTTTGCATCTTTATCAAACGAGATATTCTCGCAATTCCTCTGAACCACAAGGCAAATGGTCCCAAAGAAGAAGTCTTTTTCAAAGATACTTCGCGAATAGTTATTGGGAAGATTCTTTTGAATGCTAATGCCCCAATCCTTCAAGTTCGAGGCCTTCGCTATTGTGGATGAATAGCTGACTAGTGTCTTTGTATTTCTTTCTCCATATCTCTTTCATCATATATAGAGCATTGGAATCTGTTCCTAGTACATGATGTACACGTTGACTGCTATCGGGCGTGATGTTGATGTAGGAAATGAGGTTAGATGGAAGGTTGAATGGAGTGAAGTCGTGCAATAAGCGCCAGGACCAAGGGCATCCGGTCACCGTAGAATTACTAGCCCATCTCATCACAGTTCGCCTGCGCTATTCTCGTTTTCTGGCGATTGTGAAGTTACATTCCTTTTCAAGTGTGACTTTACAGTTCACACTATACTTGATACATAATCAAATTATGATTTAAACATCCAACAATGGTTTACCATTGAGCTATCCATCGTAAGGTTATGTAAGCCTAGCTCGAAAAGTTAGCCAATCACGTGGTGACAAACATGGTTCCTCCAGACTGGCGTCGGCACGTTTTCTTCTCCAGGAAATGGTCACGTACCTACCGACATAGTTATATCATTGGTCTTCGAATTTTACACCTCCCTTCTGCTTTCTCGACTGGCCAGCAAAAGATACGATCTGTGCGTTTTGCAATCCGGGGAATGATGATATATACTGCAACGAGCGACATATGATATTGTCCCGCCCTCAACGTCTGGAAAATCATGTTCATCGTGGTAATGGTGGTGATCGTGCCGTAATAGCCAACAAACCCATGCTGTTTGCCTTTTTCTTGCGAAAGTGGGCATATCAGGGAATAGCTCTTCATTCAAGATGCACGTTCCGATAGTTGAGGAAGATGATTCGTCGAATTATTCGGTTCTATTCTTCCAACATGTTGCAGTAGCTCGAGTAGCTAGGTATATTGATAAGACAGAGAGATACGATGTTACTCTATAGGTCTCAAACCCTTTCCTCTGCAGTTATATATATGCAGGTCGTCCCTTCCTTTCCATGCATGCATGCATGTATTGAGACAATCTTTCCTCGATACGCCCGCTCGAGATAGCACAGCAGGTCTCATGACATCTTACATGTATGAGTTTATGATAAGATTCAATATTCTTTGAAAAGCTTGCGTTTATTTGGTAGTTTATATCATTTCGATTATTCAATACACGCGAAAGCTTCACGTACAGTTATATATGGAAGACATGGCGGAAAAAGAACCGAGTGTTGAGGTTGCCCCATCTTCTAACAAAAATCATCCTGCGACACCACCGTCTGAGGAAACATACCCGAAAACATCTAAACAGTCTCTTTCGGACAAGTTCACAATTGTGAGTCTAATACTTCCGTTCAATCTAGGCACTTATATTTGCGCGAGACGACTCTGTATGGCCATCCAACGACAGAATGTACAAAATTGAGATGTCGCCTTGTCTTGTTTGTATGCTTTGACATATTGTCTAACCTCGCCCCATCTAGTTTGCGGCTGGAGCTGCTTTAGTATCAGATGGCTACTTCAACAACATCATGACGATGGCAAATGTGATCCTCAAAAAACAATATCCGAAAGAGTATACCGCAGCAACCAGTACTCGTGTTTCTAATTCTCTTTTGGTTGGTGAGATCTTTGATCAAGTGACCATCGGGCTCACTTGCGACTACTTTGGAAGAAAATTTGCTATTATTGCTACAACTTTGACGATCGTATTTGGTGGCATATTAGCCACAGCTTCCAAGGGCGTTACAATAGATGGGTATGTTCTTCTTTGATCAAATCGATTCCTGATAATTTCCAATATCCATTGAATAACTCGAATGATGAACCGTTGGACGTGCCAAAAAGTTCCTTCCTTTCGAAAGCTCTCCAGCTTTTTAGACAACGAAAGTGAACATCAATCTCTATTCCTTTCCATCGATGAAAACGGTGCATCGATATTCTAACTCTCTTTTAGAATGTTCTGGATGATAACTGTTGCGAGAGGTATTATAGGATTTGGTGTTGGTGGTAAGTTCTTGAAATCTCATAAAACGTATCATTGTCCCGACTGCAGTCCAGAAACAAAATACAGCAGTCCAATCCGGAATCCATTTTCAATATCAGATTGACCAAGTCAAATGTGATCAACAGATCAAGAAATACAAAGCATTGAATTTATTATTATGACTTTGGAACATTCAAAGCTTTCAATTTATTAGTACTGCAGCCAGGATTGATGGATCTCATCATCTTGACATTTTGTCCGTTGAGCTTTCTTGTTTCCAGCTTATTAACCCCTTTTCAGGTGAATATCCAGCATCGTCTACTTCTGCCTCTGAAGCCGCCAATGAGCATGCCCCCAAAAATCGCGGTCCCATCTTCATTCTTGTCACCAACCTTCCATTGTCCTTTGGTGGTCCCCTCGCCGTCTCAATCTTCCTCATTGTACTCGCAGCATGTGACTACAAGCATTACAACACGGTATGGCGAGTATGCTTCGGAATCGGTTGCATCATCCCATTATCCGTCTTCTACTTCCGAATCAGGATGCTTATAGTACACTCTACCGCAAGGGAGCCATTAAGAAAAATGTCCCATACAAACTCGTACTACGCTACTACTGGAAATCACTTATCGGAACATGCGGCGCATGGTTTCTTTACGATTTTGTAACATTTCCAAATGGTGTTTTCTCAGGCACAATTATCGCTTCGGTCGTTCCCTCCGATCCAAGCACCGTCGTTCTTAAAACAGGAGAATGGAATCTTCTACTCGGAGTCATCGCATTACCCGGTGTCATTATTGGTGCATTACTCTGCGATCGCATTGGTCGCAAAAACACAATGATGATCGGTTTCTTCGGCTATCTAATGTTCGGCCTCATAATCGGATTATCCTACCATAAAATCACCAAGATCGTCCCCCTCTTTGTCGTTTTCTACGGCCTGATGCAAAGTTCGGGAAACCTAGGACCAGGCGACATGTTAGGACTTATCTCCTCTGAAACCTACGCCACATCCGTGAGGGGAACTTGCTATGGACTTTCTGCCGCCCTAGGTAAAGTCGGAGCCGCAGTCGGTACCCAAGCTTTTACTCCCATCCAAACGAATTTGGGTAAGCAGTGGTCATTTATTATTGCGGCGATTTGTGGCGTGGTGGGAATCGCGGTTACGTATTTTTTTATGGAGGATATCACGGGTGAGGATTTGAGTATTAGAGATGAGAGTTTTAGAAAGTTTTTGGTAGAGAATAGTTGGAATGGGGAGATGGGAGAAGAGGATTTGAAGGCGGCGGTGGATGAAGGGGGGGTGGTGGATTTTGAGGTGGGAGGGAAGTAGGGGGGCAGAGAGGGGGGGGTATACCTATGGTAGGTTTCTTATGGTAGGCAAGAGAGTATAGAAACAGGGAGAGATTGAAGAATCCGGATTCGCGGCTGGGCAGGTTGTGTACAAAACATAACATTGTCAGCGGCTGGAAGTTGGACAGTGGTAGGAGAGTATAGATGTATCCAAATAATTTCAATTCATAATTTTCTATACGGTTTAGATTTCATAGCATTATTCGTTGCGATTACAACAAGAATGATCCGCATGACGGCAAACCACGCTACCTACTCAACGGTCAACCCCTTCGCTAGAGTCTCGGCACCTTGGCAGTAACCTTTCCATCTCATTTCATCTCATCCCACTACAGCCTCAAATCACGCCTGAATCAATTTTCAAGATCTGCTTGCTTGAGCGAAGAATCAAAAAGTGCTCTACTGTTAAGATACCTGCACCCAAAAAGAAAGACACTGAACAAACTCAACTCCTAATATGAAACCAGTGACATTCATTATTCATCTAAACATACAATACAATACAATAAACATTCAACCCAGCCAGCCAAACCCCTCAACCCAAAGTCTCATATCTTTCCTTCGCCTTTTCTTTTGTCCTACCCACAAACGCCTTATAATCACCCTTTGTCTGTCTCTCCGCTTCCTTCATTGCATCACCGAGTTTACCACCCTCAGCCCCTAGACCTACGCCTTGCGTATATAGTTCCGTCGCAATAGCCTCTGTTATTCCTGTGCCCTGGGCGCCCAGGCCTTCTCCCGCATTCCATCCCATTTTTCCCAGTAGTGCTGCGCCTTTTGATTGGACTGGTGCCGCAGGCTCGCTTTGTTCACCTTTGTGCGAAGGAGGACTGGTCGTGGAAGACGAGGTTTTCGATTTATTGTGTTGTGCAGCCGGTTGCTTGGGTTGATTGAAAGCCTGACGACGTTCTTTGGCTCGATCTCTATAAGCGGAGTTTTCGGCCGAGATTGAATCGCTTTCGGATTTCTTCAGCTTAGCTAAAGCTTTCGAGACCAGCTCTTCATTCTTCATGTTATCACGATGAAGCTGACTAATTCTTTCGTGTTTGTTAACCTCTGCTTCTGTCTTGAATTGGCGAGAACATAAGAGACAGCATTTGCGGCCCAGGTCTGCATATGACTGAGTAGGTGGAGAATCTGCAATGGGTTCTGGCGTTGATTTTGCAATTCCAACGGTAGAGTCAAAATCATTGTCCTCAAATTCTTTCGCAGGTAGACCATGAATTTCATTATGTCTATTAGTCCAAAATTGGAGATGTGGCGCTACAACTGTCTTAGTACCAGCAGCAGATTCTTTCTCGACTTTTCTTTTCTTGGACCGGGGTTCTCCATCTTTGCCACCAACAAGTCCTTCATTTGCTGCCGCCGTTGCTGCCTTGGTTCGCTGGCTGTTCGGATTCTTAATAGGAGCTTCCGGATTTACAGTGGAAAACTCGCTGGCATAAGCTGTAGCATCCCAATACATCAAACTAATCGCAGAGTTTGACAGTGGACTGAATGTGAACCTCGCGGTTTCCTCGTTCAGCAAATCAAGGACAGGCACGAATACACCAGCGTGGATGTACGAAACGATGACAGGTTTCGAAGATATCGTGAACTTATCTGTAGCATTGTATTTAGCTAAAGCATTTTGTGCATCCTCAACCGAACCAAATTCAGCAAATCCGTATCGCCAGCTGTCGTTTGTCTTACGATCTCGGACCAGCAGCACACGACGGAGAGAGCCTTCTTTTGCGCCAAGCGAAGCATCACCAGAAGTAGAGGATATTTTTGTCTTCTTAGCTGCGTGTGTATCTCCTGATGTGCTTGCTTTAGTCTTGTAAAGTTTGCACACTCCTTTGGCAAGAATCTCCTCCGTCACGCCAGGTTCAAGGCCTCTGAGTAAGAGAAATTGAGAAGCGGTTTCATCCGGTGATGCATCACTATCTCCAGTTGTAGCGAAGCCTGAGTAACTAGATACATTGCCTTGTGTCACAACAATGCCATGAGCGGTTGATCCTAGAAATGTTAGCGATATAGACTGTGACTGCGACTGGTCGCAACGTACTAGTTCTGGGCCCATTGCACTTGAAACACATCATTCTGTATGAATAGTTCAATGTGTAGCACTAGATTTGATTAACCTCGAGTATCGAAACGGCTTGATATATAACATACAACATCGCATTTCCAATCATCTTCATGCTTGCTTGCTCGTTCTGGATCGGTTTTCTCGCGGCTGTAAGCGATTCTAACTTTGCTAGGTTCTGATGCCTGCAAAGGACCATGGAAAGAAATTGTTGGATAATGTTCCTCGAGGAATCGTTTTGCTTCTGGTAGAGTATAAAATTGCGCAAAGGCAAATCCTCTTGATATACCTACGAGCAAAATGGTGAGATGTAGGTTCCCTTCGAGAAAAATTTAACCTACCAGTTTTCTTGTCCTTAATCAACCTGATCTCCTCCACACCCTCGACTTTGAAGTTTGTTTGAAGTTCTTTTGATATCTATAACTCAAAACAATGGCCATGAGGCCAATCGCTATGCTTAGCCAGAATTCCAAATTTATTCACATTAACACTTAGTCTAGAAGTGGATTCTCAAATTCGATATTAACATAGAAATGGGGTGGCCAACGTCTTCCTGTGTCAAATCTAGAGGCAGTCCCTCAAAGATTATTGTTCGATTTGGTGGTGCGCCATGGTAAGGCGAAGGGCTGCGACTTCCTCCATGGACTGGGGATCTGTATCCCTCACGATCGCGGTCCGTATAACGACCTCTATTCTCTCTGCGCGGAGATCTTGATCTTTCCCTGTCATAACCGCGCTCGTATCTGCTGCCATACTGATTGCGCTCGTCTCGATATGCCCGTTCTGTATACTCCGAGTCGTATTGTCTGCTAGAAGCAGGTCCTCGTAGAGGACTCCTTAAGTTATCTTAAGACATCGATGATCAGCACATATCCTTGGAAATCTGCATGTCCAAACTATCGATTTACCCTTCCGCGATTGATAGGAATCATATCCAGGCGCTCCATGTTGTCGGTATTCGCTCGAATATTCTTGATCATCATACATATCGGCATCAGGGCCTGGTCTGTAAGGTCTGGAACTCATCACGCAGTAAAAGTCATAAGATATGGATTATAAGTATAATCCTGAGTTGTTAAGCCACGAGTATTGAGATTGAGATGGGAAGTATGTGTAATTTAGAGTTAGTGAGTCGATTGTGAATTTATTAATGTTTGTTAAATCAAGGCTGGGTGTTTTTGGAAGGTCAGCTCTGAGCCACAAAACAAGCAAGGCTGACCCCACTATACGCCACAATACAGAAGGCTACCTAGGTAGGTACCCCCACCATATGAACTCCTAGCGCAGCCCTAGAGGCCTTCCTCTTACCATTGGATCACGAAATTTTAGTTATCTCAAAGATCTTGAAATCATGGCTAAAGAGATTTGCGAAGATAATTGCTATGTGGCATTAACTCACGAGTATCTCGATGCTAAAGTTATGATGGACAAAGTCCGAAGCCCAAAGGCCGGAGCCATCGTTCTTTTCGCAGGTAATATCAACGAGATAGATACTGATCTCGAAGTGTCGTACTGAAAAACTCGTAGGTACTACCAGAGACAATTTTGGAGGAAAACCAGTAAAAGAACTTCAATATACATCATACGAGCCACGGGCCTTACAAACTATGCTCAGTATCTGTAAAGCAATTGTTCAAAAACACTCATTGACATCCATTGCCATGATTCATCGATTGGGAGTTGTGCCTATCGGAGAGGAAAGCATTTTGATTACAGTGTCTTCGCCACATCGCCAAGCAGCTTGGAGAGCAGGTGAAGAAGCCCTGGAGGAATGTAAGGAAAAGGTGGAAGTGTGGAAGAAAGAAGAGTTTGGTGGTGAGGAGGGTGGTGTTTGGAGAGCAAATCGTGATGGTGCTGTTGGCGAGCAGGTGGATGAAGAGAAAGAAAAGAAAAGGCCGGGAATGGGACCCCATGGTCCGATATTACGGCATAATCGACCTGGGGAGCGTGGGCATGGACCAGTAGTAAGAAACCACCAGCTTGGTTCATGAGAAGGATTAATCATAGTCACAAGTTCACTACATTGATAAGTTCTGGGTGAAGCTGTGTATGTGTTCATGATACTCTCGCTATATGATGATAGTATTCAAGTGGAAGACAGATCCGGCGCAGTATTATCAGTGGTGCCACTATCCACAGTCCAGAGGGTGTATGATTGACTGTCCTCTGAAGCATTGACAGGGGGAGGGCCTAGCATCAAACCGATTTCTCTTCGTCAAATCAAGATGAAGTTATTTATGGGAAATTTCACGATCACATATCAAGACAAAATTAGATGTGTAACCATTTGCAATGCTTGAAAATACGAAGATAGTCATCTTTCCGGAAATCCACTTCCAGAGAGGCTTTCCAGGGTATGACAACCAGCTCAGACCCTCCATTGGACTTCCTTCATCCTGATCCTTCGCCCTCAACTCCTCGACTGTAGCCCGTACGTTGCCAGACCCATTACCAAACACATATCACTCATCAGTGATATCACACACTCCTCCATGCTCTGTATTTGCAATGAACAAGAGGCCGATAGACCAGCTAACGGTATGGGAAAAATACAGTGACCATCGACCCATTCCTCCTTTCAACAATATCCTTACAGCGTGTCCGCCTCAGGAACACTGCGTGCTACAGTTGTTGAATGTCTAATGCTTCTCGTCGTAACAGGTTCGGTTGATGGAGACGTCAAGAATGCTGGAATGACACGGGCCGACGCGAAAGATGCAAAGATTACAGCGATAACATTGGTGAGGCGCATTTTGGCAGTTGTGTTTTAGAATTTATAAGTCGAGAGGTTTATTTAGCAGACACTTGGTAGAATGACTGTCTGTGTGGCGTAAAATTAGGAACTTAAAGGTTTAAGGGCTTGTATTGGAGTGCGATGTCGTTATCATAGAAAAGCAGATCGTGTGAAATCGTTTAGAAGAGTTAAAGTTTCCACTCATGGTACCTTTATATGAAATACTGAGCTGAAGGAACGATAGCCGAGGCCAACGCTTGGCACAGGGCGAAGAGGAATGTTGAGGTGCTTGTAGCAGAAGTGAAAATCAAGCTCACTCTCCGCAATTGGTCGATTTGGACGAATCAATTGCAACAAATATCTGGTAAAACAAAAAGAATTACGTGGGCTCGAGGTGGGCTAATTTGGAGAAAGGAACATAGCTGAGACGCGAAACGTTTTGTCATGCGGGGCAAAGAACTACTTTACGGACTTCTGTCAGATCACAATCCGTGCACTTGGTCAGAATAGCATCAATAGAAGCTTCTTGGTTTGAAGACAACGTAGAAAATTGATAGAACTCTGATGATGTACTAAAGTGACCTAGAATTTTCCTGAATGACTTCATGAAATTAATAGCAGGTATATCCACCGTCAACGACCTACGAGGATTAGTGAGAGGCACGCGTGAATATACGATCCGTGTAATATTGAACTCACAAGATCACAGCCATTCAAATAGCTCGATGCATCACTGGCCATATAGACGAGCGTTCCCTGTAACTCACTTGGATGACTGAGACGCCCCATGGGTATATCTTTTACCCAATCTTCTTCAATGTGTTTCCCCTCCTTTTCCAAAAGATCGATTATAAGGTCTGTTTTTACATATCCGGGACATAGATTGTTGACTCTAATCCCATAGGGTCCCCACTGAATTCAGATAAGTTTTATTTCGGGAGCAAGATACCAGGATTCTTACCTCTGTGGCCAAACTCTTACCAAGCATCGAGACAGCTCCCTTGCTCTTTATCGTGTTAGCATTGGACTTTGTGATGATCTTTTTGATACTTTTCGGTAGCAGGGGGGTCTATTTGTGAACGAAAAGTACACCTACAGCATTATACGCCGCTTGCTTTTGTGGTCTGACACAAATCATGCTGCTCATCGACGATATTAGAATCAAACTTCCCTTGGACTTTTTCTCAATCCAGTATTTCCCTGCCTCTCTGGCGAACAAGAAACTTCCGTTAAGGTTTATGTCCACCATTCTCTTCCATTTGTCGTAAGGATATTTCTCTCCCTCATAATTCTCAACGATGCCGGCAGCTGTAACAACTACGTCGACATGTCTAAAATCTTCGACAATCTCTGCCCATGTTCTTTGTACTGCTTCTTCTGATGCCACATCACATCCATAAGCACGGAGGTCGGGTTTGTAGGAGGGATTCGTGGTTTCAATACTCGATTTGATGCGATCGATCGATTCCTCGCCAATAGAGCGGGTAAGGTCAACACAGGCCCCGCGGGCACCACTGAGCGCAAAAGCAGTAAGACATTCTTTCCCAATTCCTCTTCCAGCGCCAGTGACAACACAAGTCTTCCCTTCGAGCGAAAACGAGGGAAGGGTCATGAGAGCTCTACGTGGAACTGTGGCTGGCTTGGCAGCTCGTAGAAAGTTTCGTGTCAGAGATACTTTGGAAAACATAATTGAGGAGGACGGCTTGTTTTTCTGAGAGGGATAACCTGGGGGTTTTTGTTATGAAGTATCTAAGTGAACTTATTAGTTGCTATGTGTTAGTAGACAGAGTATCGGTGTGGAAGCAATCAATGGATCTTGAAGTGGCATCGTAAGCCACGGATTCCTCTGTGTGCCATGAACTCGTTCGTATGTGATGGAATACAGTTATTGGTGAGGGGAAGCAATCTTAGCTGTACCACATTGTCTCTCGTCCAACAGGAGGCATTGGGTGAGAAAGTTGATGCGGAGAACAAGGGAAGGTTTACCGAATTGATTTATCTTGGTGGTCCGCCAAGTTCAATAATGCATTTTTGCATAATGTATCCAATAATGCATAAATATTTTATACCATAAATGTAGGTTGATGAGATTCAGTACAGTACTAATTCGTAGCTATGAGAACGTTGACTTAGTCACACGTTTTATACAGACATCAGTCCTTATAATCCACTTCTCACCCTCCGTAACTTCCCTTCCCTCATGCAACATACAATCATCTCCATGCTTGTGCAATAGAATCATTCCAGTTTCGAGGCTTATGACAACAGGCTTATCAATGGGAGACTTCTTATTAGGAAGTTCCTCAGGGTAAAAGACTGTTTCTCCTCCTACACAGCCTGTTGCTGGGGATGTGAGGTATAATAATAGTGTCCAGGTTGTCTTTGCTTGAGTAGACGCAGGCTTTGTGGGAAGTGTAATAAGATTGGATTCATCATCTGAGAAGGTAAATGAGAATCAGAAGTTCTCGTTACTCGTGAGAAAAGGATGACTTACAATGGCAATCGAAGAACTGCCCCTTAGTATATCTGTATATCCGAATGGCGGGATTCAGACCTACGACATCTCCTCCCCTGTATGATATAATAGTCAACATCATTTAACGGGTGTACTTCACCAGACGTGATGAAGCGGCGGAGCACTCACCACAACTCTCTTCGTTCTCCTTCGCTCATCTCATCGCCCTCTTCTTCATATTCCCTCTCAATTTCACCACATAAAAGCTCCTTCAGTCCTGTCTCTCTCCAAAGCCGTTCGGCAAAGTTCCAATCATCAACCCGGAATCTATCATTGACTCTCAGAGCATCACCCTTTTTAGGCTTGCCAGGTGTTGTGGTCAAAGGCAACCCCTTCAAAAATGAGACATAATTTTTACACAAAGCAGATGTCCAGAAGTTTGGTATGGTAATGATTTGACCAGGAACGATAGTCTCGAACGACAAGTTCGAAGGTGGCATGAGAGGTTTGAAGGGGGGCCAGTTTGGAGACAGAGATTCAGGTGTAGCTGTACTTTGTTTCGGCTTCTTGGGAGGCATAATTAATCAAACTATTTGACCTCGATCCAGGTACAACCCGCACTTGCATCAATGTTTTGATAGTGTTTTGAATCGTCGTACTGGTCTTATACTTGGGGTTGGTTTGTGTTTACTCGAAAATTCTTATACTGTTTGTTGCCTTTGATAGCTTCGTAGATGTGGAGAGGGACATTGGAATACGGCGACCGGAATGTTCACACAACTCATCCGACAAGACAAAACAAAACAAAACAAAATACCACTTTTCTTCCACATACACTGTGCCGCCATCAATTTTATCATCATCGACCATATATTGCAAAGTTGCATTTGTATGCATCCGAGTTCTGCAAGGTTCCAGACGCATGAGGTTCCAACGATTTCATGATGATGCTAAGATCTAGTCTTACGAATGCTAAGCAACAGTGAAGCCTGGGTATCAACAAATCTCATCACATTCACATTCCACGGTAATTATGGCTTATAGTAACGCCAACATTCAAATACCACTCAGTTTCGTGTTTTGCGCGTTGTTATGCATCTCAATGTTCTTGCTACAATACATGTAAATCGTTGACGATTTATTCTTCTTCGCTTTCTCGTTCTTACTTTTTCTTTCTCCCCCTGCAGACTTGAATAGTCTTTTTTCTCTTCTTGATTTGAAATTCTCCAGCAATTATGTTGACGCTATGTTTACTTACTCCGGTGCTGTGCGTGCTACCTACCGGGGTTCTAGGAAGACATGGGAATTCGGCTCTTACTCATCTCGCGTCTAGTAGGTCGACAGATGATGATGGTCAAGAAAACTACAAACATGTTAGTGTCGGACAAACCTACCAAGAAGGGCTCACTGGGCGGACAACCTCGATTAATTATACGTTGCCTTGGCCTGCTACAAAGTCTATTCAACCCGATCCTACCTTTCAAGGGATGAATGTCACTTCAGTAATTCCCGTTTTCGAGACGTGCAACTTGCCGGGTGCAAGGACTACATCATGCTCGCCTTCTTTTCAGACTATCATCACTACCAAATGTTCAACTATTTTAACAGGATATTTTACTAGGCATACTGTCTCTGAGTGTGATGAGATTGTCACCTTCTCTACACAGTACGGCTATTCGTTGGCTACCACAGCACCTCCTGCAAGCAGCGTCTCGGCTCTGCACAAGCGTAAGAAAAGTACATCGTTGACAAACAACTATATTCATAACGTTACAACATATTATGCCGCTCCATGGCAGTCAATTGCAGCAGATTATCCATCAGATATACACGTTCAAATATGCGGACTGTCATCCGATGGTGTTCGAATGTGTACAACTGTCACTGAAGTCTGGGTCATCCATACGGAATATATACCAACTTATTATACTGAGGCCATCTCAGTTTCCACTGTAGTATCTTCAGTATGTGCACTTTTACATATGATCACAGGCAACGCTGACATTTTTAGACCGCCGTGTTAGCATTTGCTCCCAACATATATATAACTATCACGCCCGGAACTTTCATACTTTCAACAAAAATAGTATCTACAAGTTTATTGGCAAAGAACATAACCTCAACTTCTAGAATCGAGAACTCGAGCTTGGAATCATCAGGCTCTGCATCTAGTACTCAAGATTTGACGACAACGATTTACATTACTGGTCCGGGTAGTACCACGACGATAAATCTGGGGATGGCATTGTCTCTCGCCTCAGTTCAAGAGCCGTAAGTGTAAATTAAAAAACCATTTGTTTATTTCACTGACGGATCATTAGAGCTAGGGCAACTTGCACAACTACAATCACGAGTACGACAAGGGTAACAAGAACCACCACTTTCACGCCTGTAAGTTCAAACCATATAGCAAATCTTCATGACATTAACCAACAATCATTCATAGCGTCTTACCGTTTCCCCAACCATTTAACTGCTCCACGGGATTGCGGTTTAGTTTGAGAGTCTGATATTTGGACAGAAAGGAATGCATTCCTTTGTGCGGGATATCATACCTGGAAAAGTCTAGTCAACAAACATTTTGGCGTGTGATTCCATGCGGGAATAGATAGATGCTCACTTTGAATTTATGGCTCTATCCTCAAGTAATGCCCATATATTCTACTTTCCCTACGCTCGTTTTTGCATCTTTTGTCTAGGTTGAAATTCATCCTCATTCGTAATCTTCGCCATTCAGTGAAAATTCACATACCAAACCATTGGGTTTGATTTCGGGGTTGATAGCTTGTAGAATGCCTCAATGGATGATAATAGTCATCAAACTGCTCTTCCTCATTCCATGCAAATCTTTGAGCAGACACAAGAATAATAAATATTGTGTATAAAATTCGTTGACAAAACCCGGTTAAAACTGGTTCGGTTCATCTTAATCAATTACCCGACCGCGCAATTTCATCGACATCCCGAGCTCGAGGACATAAAAATTATCAAAACTCCCCGGCCTAGATACAAATAATGTGTATTAAAAATTTGTTGGCTGATATGACTGTCCTGCATCTTGTCTGTTACTTTCATACTAGAGCTAGCTCCTTACATTCACTTGATCATTAGTAACTACCACTAGAGAACCCTGTGAAAATACGATACATAGAGTTGCTAAAATTATAGGCGGTATTCGTCCTACAAAGTCTTAGACTGATATAAGATTTCAATGACTCAATCGATCAGCTAATCATTGGCCCACCTGTTAGCCCCGGCCATCGATAAGTCACATTACCCTATAACCCCTCAACACCTTCTTTATACATTCACGCGATATCAATCTCTACATTACTTGTTATATTCAGATGGCTCGTCGTACCTCTCGCTATCCGGTAACGTTATACAATTCTTACTTTTATCAAACACAAAAAGAATTTTCCTATTTCCCTTAAAGCTCCTAACGCCGCTCCTACGCCCCGCTTGCTATCGTACACAACCACCTACTTCACAAATTCTCCCATCGATGTCCACTAATAGCAACCAAGCGATTGAACAACTCATCCCTTTCCGGTAGCGCCGTAAACTTCCACGTCTTATCATTCAACCCATTAACCTCCACACTGCCCAATAGATCTTTATCACTTCCCCAATCAGCTGCTAATTCCGCAGCCTTGGCTGAGAATGCCGCTACTCGTTTCAATTGCTTGATTTCTGCAAAAGGTATCTCGACAACTGGAGACGATCTGTTGCCCTGCTCTCCGTGGCTGAATAGTATAGAAGTACCCGTGATATAGAGCCAGCCCTTCTTGCCATCATATCGAGCTGTATACTCGCTCGGGCCAGCGTAAATCAGATTCTTCTCCTTGGGAAGAATGCCTACTTGGCCTTTGGCTTTTTCGTTACCCGCCTTAGCTCTGACATGGTCGACGGCTAACTTTGTCTCGACAGATGCCTTGGTATTGAACTTCAGGGCACGGAGGAACTTGGCCAGCTTTTTATGCTTCGGGCCCTCGCTCTGCTCTTCTTCCTGCGGATGAGATTTCTCCATATTTCCAGAAGGTTGAATGGCGTGCTGGATTTCGGCATCCGTGGCATCAAGCGGAATGTTATCCTCATCAATGGTTTGCTTCTCATTGCGATCGTTGTGGTGAGAGGTTTGTACTGGAGGGATGGGCGTATTATTGGCCTCCCCAACTCTCAGGAGTGTGAGTGTTAGCTGGTTATTTGTGGGAACGCCACGGAGAATATTACTGCACAATTTTAGTTTCGCCTTCTAGCCACGAACGAGAAGGAACCTACTTCTTAGGCTCTAAAAGCTCTTTCCAATTAGAATAATTTTGGTTCAGCCACTGAAGAGTTGGTGTCAAGATTGGATCGCCAAAAACACCAAAGCCAATGAAGAGACCGATTCCTTTGTACACCATATAGTAGCTGACAAATAGTGACATTAGAAATGCAGGTACTAAAACAGCGTCAATCCGAAGGAAGGACATCTTTGAGAATGGTGGGGTGGGTGAGATCGCGCTTAAACGGTTAGTTGAAAGTCACAGAGCAGAATCATGATATCACCTACTTCGAGAAGCGCTCCCAATTGTCGACAATTTCGCCTATAATATGAGGTACTGTCTGGATGATTGGTTCAATCTGCTTTGGGCTGACTTTGTCCCAGAGCATTTCTTCCATGGGTTTTTGAGTCAGGTATTCGTCGTTTTCGGTATTTGCAGGACCAACTCCAGCCGAGTGAACAGCTTTCGCAGCATCTCTGATAGGTTTTGCAATCTTGCTTTCTAGTGGATCTCCCTCATTCTGGTTCTTCTCGTGCATTCCGATTGCTCTTTCAATCATGTGATGAATGTTAGTTACAAAATTAGAAGCTTCTTCTTCAGCAGCTTCACCCTCTTGCTTTTCCGGTGCGCCCGTGAGAGTATTGCTTGTTCCTAGTTGACCAGCTTGAGGTTTCTGGATTCCACCAGTTTCTATATTTACCAGAGCTAGGGGAGCTGGAGGAAATAGAATGTTACGAGCCTGTTTCGAAGAGACTAGCGCAATCAGACAGCCAAGCACTAAGGGCAGTAACAGATCAAAAGCCCATGCTGTAAAATATGCCTTATATCTTGTAAGCAGCTACTCATAAAGACACCGGGATAAAACGTACAGCACAGAAAATGCTTGTTCGACGAGTTTCTTTCCATGACCGCAGTCTAGCAACATGTTTCCCAAGACTAGCAAATCCTAGTATCACCGATAAGTACATCCGCTGGAGATGCAAAGTAGCTTTGTCTGCAGCGTGTTCGTCGGACCAGGCATCGTTTAGATCAAGTCCACGAGAAACTTCGAGGTCGACTGCACGGACATCAAATACATCCTGACCCAATTAGAATATTATCCATATGCTAGTGTTCCTCTTACCTTATTGAAACGCCTTATCAACCAAAACAGTCTTCCATTTGGTAGACCTCCGAGCAATGGGTCCGGAATTTCAGTGAGAGGTCGGTGCCATCCGATATCCCTGATGTTATTGACGGAACTACCATGGGGCTGTTGTACAGCACCTCGAATACCATAGTCTTTGCGCGCTATCTCATGACTATCTGCTGAAAGGTTCTCCCGCACTTGCTCAGTGATATCTTGGACGCTTAGGTTCGTTATCGCTTTCAGTTTTGTGTTCACGGCTGCTTTAGCAGAAACGAATTGTGCCTGCGCGGCATCTGAGTCTATCACGGTTGCTCTCTCTTTTGCGCTAGCTAGTACTACATCTAACTTGTTTTTGAGTGTAAGGCCGGAACCATTGGTATTGTCGTGTGTAGGCGCACCTAAAATTGGTGCAGGAGTAGCCTTGGCATGTACATTCCCCGATAATGTTTCCTCCTCCTTCCGCATAACGTGATTCTTGGAATACTGCTGAGCTAGCGTCCTGTTGATTTGAGTCTCCGGATTTTGCACAGGTATCTGATCAATGTATACTTCCTGTTTAGAGTTTTGATCCATCACATCCTGCGCATGGCTAGTTTCGATCTGCACAGGAGTTTGTGGTCGAAACAGAGTGTGGGTGCTGGCACTCAAGCCAGACTCAGGTCCCTCATTAGTTGGAGGATGAGAGGGAGAGGTTTTGTCAGGAAGTGGAATCCTTTGGTCAGGTTGAGGTTGCTCCTGGGATACGTAGTCTTGGTTCGAGCTTGAGGTCGTCAGAATATCATCCATATCTAACATAGATCTGGATCTGTGTGAAGCTATGGTGAGTGTGATTGGAAACTATATAAAAGCTTGCGGTATTGAAAACAAGAATAATGGTGAAAGTCGAAATAGTTGAAATTCACCACATAAGATGGTCGCTCCACCACTCAAGCACTCATGACCTCATGTTGCGTTCTGGGAATACTTGTATCGCCCAATTGCTCTACCTGGCAGTTATAGGTATGACCAGAGCATACAATTGTTCATTCAAAAGGTTATTCATTCATGGCTACTTCCTTTTTGCCTCTCCTCTAAAACTTGATTGGGCGAAGCTAAATGTGGGAATGTTGGAACAAAGCGGAGAATTATGTGTCTTGAAATTGGTGACACGCATGATGATAAACCACGTTAAATTTCAACTGAACCATACTGTGTTTGCTAATGGCACTGAAAACTTCTCAAGGCCTTTAGACAGGAAATTTTCTTATAGTATCGTCGGAGCCGGACCAGGTCTTTCAAGAACTTGGATCAAGAGTGCTCCGCAAATGAATCGCAGGTATGACGCGATCCACCAGTGGTCTTCGTCCCCGGTTGCCCTCCACAAACAATGCTAGCCATGGTATAAAATCTGCATCTTCCTGTGGCTGCACATGAGAATATTGCCACCAGAACTACATTTCAGCAAGGGGGAGCTTTGAACCCGCCCCAATGTGCCACAGGCTTGGCAGACGTTACCTCAATTCGCGAGCTTCCAATCTGACTGCGTGGAACTAATGGTCCGAGAGTCTGAAGTAGGTTCTCGTGGCGGTGCAGCTTACCATGTTCGAAAGGGGCTGTCATAATTCACGTGATAAAGGCGGTGAGAAACCATGTCGCTGCTCTAATTGTTAGAAGCGCTCGAGAAGCGGTAGCAAAATATGCTTGTTGTGGCATGGATTATGACAACCTCTTTTCGTAAAATCATAGGCTGTCGTGGTACCTGACAACACCAAAGTCATGTTCCGGTATACTCAAATATTGGGATTTTGCTGCCCCATAGTCCTCATTCTTGTGTCATGCTCGGCACCTCATTATAGCCAAGAAGCAAGTCTACTAGTTCCAGCCTCTTTAGAGTTCCATAACACAATTATCATTGAACTTTGACGATCAGACTCGAAAGGATACACTTCATCAAATACCATTGAATCTCTTCCCTAGTCAGAGCTAGAGGAATATCGAGCGTCTGAGTGAATCGAGGGGCATTCAGATTTTCGAGAATACACGTATAATACTCTTTCCCGAAGTAATTGTTTAGTCGGTACACAACACCCGATTTCCTATACTGTATCTACTAGGGTGTTCCAGCCACTGAGGTAGCAGGATGCTTCTCGAAATCACACTGGAGTTGTTTTATTGGACTTGATAGTTGTATCGTCAAGATCAGTGGTCCGATGGAGTTGGATTTCGCGACTTACCAAGACCCAGGTGAGGTCATTTTTACCAATAGTAGGGCAAACTATATGCCAGCATATCAAAACACAGCAACTTGTAAATGATATATTTTCATGATTTACATGTTACTTGGTTAAAAATATGGCTGCGTCATTGCATTTTCATCGCAGCTTGTATTCTATATAGAGGTGCAAGTGCTCTTCTTCGTTCTCTCTATCTGTACTATTATATTCAAAGTAAATTTCAAGTCACAATCAAAAGTTCTTCAAAATGGCAGGCTTCTTATCCAGGTTCCACAACTCGAAATTTTACCCCCTCCTTCAACGAATCCTCCGCACCCTACAATTCCTATCGGCCCTCGCGTCTCTTATCGTTTTCTCTATTCGCATCCGAAAGATTTATAAACTCTATCGCAGTATTTCTCACGCAGAGGGGGCCATTGAAGGTATCCTCGCTGCCGCCATTGCTTACACTCTTGCAATTATGGCGTTGAAACTATGTATGCGAAACGGCGGACCGAAATTCCTTCGTTGGATCCTAGTTGTGCTCGACGTAGCTTTTGTGGGAGCTTTTATTGCTGTCGCTGTGTTGACGAGCCCGAACGGTGGGAAGGCTGGACCTTGCTATGGCCAGAGGAAGAAGATTGCAGCGCAGAGTGATTATGCCAACGACCCAGGATGCCAATTGCCTCTTGGGACTTTTATCACAGCTATTGTTAGCACGTAAGTTATCTCTGGTACGGTCTTTGATCAACAAAACTTAATTACATCCATAGTATTCTTCATGCTTTGACTGCCATCTTCCAAGATACTCGTGAGCGTCACAGAGAGCACAAAGCTGTTAAGGAGGAATATTATAATGGGTACGTTCAGAAAATCATCTTGTAACTGATACAATTGTAATAATAACTCAAAATAGAGACAGCAACAGCGGCAGAACCGCAATCAGCTCCACCCACTACAACCAAGATCGCTCAGCTGTTTAGGAACTTGTTTGTTACATCTTGGCTTGATAGCTAGTCATCACGTAAAAGCGTTGATCAGGATGTAGTGGGAGCAATAGGGAGAGCAGTGAACAAAGATTTATATCAGCAGATTATGTTTCCCCAGTAGATAGAACCTCGTGCTCAACTCAAATAGAAAATTTATTTACTTATTTATTATCGATTAGCTTCCAGTTGAATAACTTGCATGCAAGTCTATTAACACACATTCAAATGTCCTAATATCGCCTTCCCTGTGATATTAGCCAGGTGAGACGTAACTACTAGTATTAGACTAGTTGATAAGTGTAGAATATGGTTGTAGTCGTCCTCAATCACTATTATCCACGAAAATCTGATACTTACATAGGGAAGCGCTAGCACCTCGCTAGCTAAATACAATGCACTATTTTTGGTCACAACATCCATACTCCGACAGTAATATCTGGATTCTAATGAAACTTATTACTTCTGCGAGACAGTTAGCATAGTTTCTAGAGAGATCTTGAAATCCGATAAGATGATTTACCTATAGATCTCATCACACTTGATCAATGTATTCAATCCCAACTCCGTATTCGTTATCAAGAGTTACCCAACAATAACCATAATGATTCGCTCAGATTCTTTATAGATATTGAGTTTCTTAGCAATATAGACCAGATGTATTGAATATTTAAATCTACATTAGACTTTTGCAGATTATTAAACTAAATATGAATCGCTTATTTTAATAGACTTTGAAACATATTATGTTACACTCTGATAATTGTACTAATATTTTCTTAGAGCTACTCTTATCAGTATCATTTTTGTGTTCCTTAGTGATGAGTATATTTGAGCAATCGTACTTGTCTGTTGATAAAGTAATGTCTAAAGGATTGAGGAAAATGTCAAGCTTGTAATCGGCCTCCAAGCCCCTCAATACTTTATTCGTTGATATATAATAACCACAACTAAGCCCACCAAGAAAAGCGTTCTAGAACTTTATCAACTAACAATCAGAGAATGAATCTTCAAATAGAGGCTCTGGCCATCCGCTCCAATGACTACATGCATATTAGGCCGTCAAAGCTTTGTAGATATCCCTAGTATTGTTTGTTTATGATTCCTATTAAATCATCATTTGTAGACACCTCTGATATTGTAGTAAACTCGCTTGGTAAGCTTATTAAGCATTCACTGAGCAATTTAGCTGTATGTTTGTTTAATCCCCTCTGAAAAGCCAAGCTGGATCGAATCAGTGTATCGAAGATAGCGTTCTCGAAGGCAGTTAAAGGTGTAATCTCATTCAGGCTGTCTGTGCAACTAGTTCAAATACAATATTCCATTTCTCAACATCTGGCAAAGGGTTGATAACTCGTTTATAAGAGGTATAGCCGATGTTACACTACTCCAGCTTGGATGAATCTACATTCAAGATTACAATATATGCATCGGTTTGACATCATTACAACACTATCATCTACACTTACTCAAAAGCACCACATCTCAAAATCTTCACGGCCAGTTACCAAACGACCATTTCAGATTAATTCCATGATATTCCTTTACAAGGAATAAACACGATAATCAATTGGAGTAACAGAGACTTTATATCTGAACAGAAATGATAGCTCAGTATCAGACCACAGCCATTACGCTCTTCAATGAAAAGGCGTGAAGGTCACCCAGGCCACAGGTTCAACCATAAATACCCAGTTTCCACTGAGTCTCTCATTATCAGTAACTTAGCTCAACACCGGCTCTACAGTGCTCTCGGAGGTCTACTATTGAGGGGTACCAATCACCATGTGATATTATATCATGGCTATCACCAGCTTATATTCACCTCTATTCGAGATCTGATCGAATGAGAGCTTTACATAAACGGTTGGGCAAGCAAAGTGTCCCCAAAAAGATATATCGGTATTAAGATACAGAGACGTTCAAAAGTAAAAGAATGGAATAAGATGTCGAATACGCATGATTATAAGTAGCTGGAGACTTTAAGAAGATCGTTTTTGTTGTCCAAGACTACTGCTCAAAGTGAGCGTATTCACTTTGTCAGTCATGAGATCGCCAATAAGAAATTTCATAACCGAATGGATAATCTTAATGTTTTTGTTACTTAGCCAGATCGTGCTTCCCATAACAGCGAGCAAAGACTATCGAAGGTTTGAATCTATACACGTCTTCGCAATGGAATTTCATGTCTACAAAGCTTTTTTGTTCATCTTTTTCTTCTACCTCTCAGCAGTTCGAGCTCAGCAAGCTGTAGATTTCGGTTCAATCTGGGTCGTACCTGATGGCACCCAGCCAGATCTTTCACAAACATTCAGACAAGGTCTCACTCTCCAGATTACTTGGTTTGGGGCGCCAGATAACTATCAATTTGATACCTTGACGAATTTGTGGGTCACATCGTGGGAGTATGAAAAGACTGCATACAGCCAGTTACTTGAAGGTATAATTATGCAAGACCTGCCATTTTACTACAGAGGCTCTCCATGGTACTGATATTTCTTCTTTTATTAGGGAATATCAACGCCAACGATAGCGGTACTCATGACTGGACAATCGATATTCCAACTAGTGTTTTAGGCAAGACCGCGAAATACGTTCTTCGATTCAAAAGCCTTAATCCTGCATTCAACCCCGACTCTCGTGATGTGTCGAGTCCAGCATTCTTGGTCATCACTGGAGATTCTGCTTCATCCTCTAGAACTTCTACTTCATCCTCTACCACTTCTGCCTCTGCTGTTTCTTCCTCGTCCTCCATGATTACTTCTGTTCCGACACTTTCCACTTCCGCGGTTTCCTCGACTCAGACATCTATTTCTGCCACTGGAGCGATTGCGAGTTCAACAGCAGCTGATACGATATACAGGGATAAATACACTAAGCTTAGTGGTGGATTGGCAGCAGGTATTGCTGTTGCATCTGTGGCTATACTTTGCGCAGTCCTTGGGTTGGCATACTTTCTGTACAAACGAAGGAAAAATAAGAGAGATCCTGCAACACAACCATTGACAGAGCATCCTACGGGCTCTTTGACAAAATCTCCAATATATCATGAAGCACCAAATCAGCAAGCAGCAGTACCTTCTGAGAAAGCAGCTGAGCTTGGCGTTGAAGAACGACCAGTGGAGTTAGAGGGTTAGTACAGGTTGTGATGGTGGAGGGATGGAAAGTCTTGGGGCCAGATAGAATAACATGTTCACTACAAATGCTGCTTTTAGCTATCGGTAGGGAATTTAGGGCGGGTTTTCAAACCAATATCGTAGGGGGGCTGAGTTTCATCGTACATTTGACCATTGCATCAACAAGTTCATGGTGTCGACTCAAAAAGAAATATGAAGCAGAACACGAAATCTTATTACTCTCATCTCATGACTAGTTATTCAAATGAAAGAACGTCCCTTTGTGACTGAAGGGTGTGTAATATGGAGTACCGTAACCAATTGACTGATTGACCGCTCGCTATTCATGTCACCAAAATATCTCTGGGTAATACAGCGTGACCATATGTCTTTTAATCTCAATTTTATCAATCTCTAGATTAATTACGGTCTGTTATGTACAGCATCAAGAAAGTAAACACCTTTCTATAAGATCATTGAAAACTTGAGTTGCAAATTCTTATCTCCTTTTATTGACAAGCTAGAGATTCAAGCCTGTCCAGACAACCATTCGAAAAGCTCTGGCAGGTGTCAACATCAAATCTCGGTGCTGACAAATTTTGAGCCTAAATTTACTTTCTCCCGAAAGTCCAACCGCGTAGATTAATCAGTACGACTACTTTTGTTTCCTAGCACATCTCGGAAGAACTTAGAAATTGATACTCTAAGAGAAAGAAAGGGAAATTTGAACCAATTCCGCGTAGAAATAGGAAAAGGGGGCCCCCCATGTCCTTCCTGAGGAAAGTGGGTTAAATGATATGTACTTCTCAAGGCCTATATTTGCTAATCCATCGATAGCACTTTAATCTGATTGCAGATTCGGAGATATACCACTGGACATCAAGTTTCATATCATGGGACATCTTGGTTGGGCAGGTTCAGTTTGCCTTGGCTTGACCTGTTCGCAAATGTACGAAATCTACAAACTTTTATACTCATTACAGATATCGTTGCGAGAATGGGTTGAAAAAGGTCCTCCTCCTCTTTATCGTGAACCTCGAGAACCGGCTCAAATCCAGCTATTCCAGTTGCTAGAAGCCTGGCATGGGCATCAACATGCATGTTGAAATCCGAATTCTCTAAGGGGGCGCGACAAAGGTTCCGATATCAATACTCAGGTAGTACCAGCTCAATTCCTCCGCAAGTCTGTATATAACACCACTCCGCTTGATGATACCCCAGAAATTATTGCGAGAAATGATAAGCTGCGAAATAGCCTCTGGAAAAGTTACCAGGACCATTTCTGGTTTAAAAATCCAAGAATCAATCAGAAAAATATCGATGTCTCCTTGATAGCTTCGCCTCCCGGTAGGCTCACGCGAGAGAAAGATCCCAAATTTGCTTTCAAGATGCATCCTCTACCTAACTCTTACAGCATAGGAGTCGAGAGATGGGAGAAGGAGGCTACGAAGGTAATTTTGAGCACTATAGACGTGGCTCGTGATAGAAGACACTGAAGATGGTACTGGAAGAATTGCCTTCTGTTCCGTCGAAACTATGCAAGTTTTCAAGAAGCTCGCCAGGCTGAGATAGGTTCGAGTGCATTCTCGGAATGGTTACTCATAATCGAATCCTAGGACGAGGGGCAAGAAAAATGAGCCGATGAATAACTAGAAAGAGTCACAATGAGTCTCAAAGATGTTAAAATTGGTTTTAGTCTAATATTAAAATACATGATTTTCAACTAAATGCAAACTATTTCTTATACCTACATGAAATCTCTCAGGCCTCTGCAAAGCTTCCTCACCGGCTAGTATTCTTAAGATCGCTCATTTCACCCCCTCAAACCCAGAGCTTTTACTAATCCTTACAGTCCCGTTACAAAGATAATTTCTGAGACGAATGAAAACCGTCATATAGGCCTTAAATCCCTACCATGACAGATAACTAGGCATAAGTTCAAGGTACGGTTGATTTCATGAAGTCCTCAATCAATACGGTACGTTTCTGAGGGTACGGTTTACTTTGAATTATGCGCTAACATCATCATCAATGTCTACTACGGCATCACCTCAAAGAGTGTACCTTGTCTAATATCATATAAACTCACTTAGAATCCCCCAGCAATCGCAACCTCTCTCAAATTCTCAATCTCACTCAGATTTCCAAACCATTTCGGAAAGCAAGATCAACCAAGAAAGTTCACCAATCTCGCTACTCAACTCAACTCCGAAAGAATCAATCTCAGAAATCTACCAAGATGAGAAACATCCCTACTAGTTGCTGGTTACAAGGTAAGCAAAACCAAAAATCTACTTTTAAAATTTTGACATGCGCTAATTAATGAAGTGCCAACCCAAACTCATCGCCGTCTCGGAGATCTTCCGCTAGAAATCCTGTACAATGTGATGGGGCTACTCGGCTGGGAGGGCTCTACCAGTCTTGGCTTAACATGTCCTGAGATTTACGCTGCATACAGAGCTCTCTACCCATCAAAGGTGCCATTACGAAGCCTGGTAGATACATCTCTTCCTTTTCGATTATACCCAGTCACTGAGATCGAAATGGCTCAATTATACCCACCAATCGAACTGTACAAGCTAGTTGGAAACTGGAACGGGTTGAAAGATCAATATTTCTTTTGGGAGGATGATACCTATTGGAAGAACGAGAACGCCGGGTATAACACGAGTACGACACCGACATTAGATGTCCTTTCGAGCGGTGTTCCCGATCGATTTCTTCTCGCGTCTACGTTCGCAAACAAGATCCAGAATATGAAGATCTTGCAGGAAAGATATCAGGATTATGAGTTTACACGCATCGGTGGTAAGGAACATACTTTTGTAGATTCCTACGAGGGTAGTTCGGTTTATTTGGACACCAAAGAGGCAAATTTGCTTCTCCAAGCTAGTCGAATCCCCTCTCCATTCGATTTGGGAGCTGAATGGGACAGCAAAGCTAAGAGAGTGATTATTGAAAGCATCAATTTGGCTCCACGCGCACTCGTTTGGCGATCTTACTGGAGATCTACCAATATATGGAATCGAAATACCTTGTACTTTGATAGGAAATTGAAATCTGCTGAGGCTGCGGAGAGAGCTTTGGACCAATTCCCAGAATGGATTGAAATGATCGGGTTTTGAGGAGAAGTGAGAAGCATGAACAGGGGCAAGGAGGGCAGCATTGGGAAGCTGGAAGGGAGTTAGAAGAGTATTATTGATTCTACAAAGATTGTATCTAGTCTTGATTAGTAATAAGCATCATTAGCCATCTGTTTGCTCATAAACGGCAATAGTCATCTATATTGTATAGTCTGTAATGTCTTGTCATCTAATCTGAAAGTTCTTCACAATCTTGCGCAAACAAAATCATGCATGTGATCGACCATGCTTGGTGGTACTGTGAGAGGCAACAATTCTCTCCGAAAATAGGCCAAGGAGTTTACATATAATACTAAGTGACAATCGAGATTGGCTTTGTCTGTAATCTATTAACTAAATTGAAACCTCTACGGGTGCTATACTGAAAATTGCCCTAATCAAACTTAAAGTCATGTCTGAGGTAAAAGATAATCCTACAGATTAGAGCAAGGGAATAACAATAGCAGCGCTAAATCCCAATCACAAAATTTTTTCCACTTATTCAACCCGCCATGACTAGTGAGCAGCTCTTTTTATTTTTCCAAATAATCTTCTAGACAGATTCCCTGTCTTGGATATCCCAGGCAAAATGATCTCTAAATGATGTCGCAACCTTTACCATGCTTCTCTGCAGCGTTAGGACTAACTTGCACACGAATTTATGTTGAGTTTGAGTATCGATATAGCCAAGGGCTGTTAAGAAAATCATTCAGTCCAAAATTAAAACTAAGGTTCTCTCTAAAGCTATGGGGTCACCATGTTTTTGTATCAACCACTCGAACATACATGTAACACAAGTAATCGAATATTTTAAGCATATTCTACACCCAAAAGTCTTGCACTATCAGACTTTTGTCTGCTTTATGAGAGATTCCGATCCTGTGTCAAAAGGACTGTCATATTGCTCCTGTCCAATGTATGTAATGCTCGACTGCTTCCACAGCTGCCCTTTACTTTGCCACCTCATTCAATCTTTTGAGACCGCACCGCTATTGAAGATTACAGGATTGAACGTTCATGATTTCAGGGCAAATGCACAAAACGATGTCAATATCCACAGCCAAAGGCTAGTAGTTTGTGTTCGGTACAACTGAAGAGAAAAAAAGGAGATCTCGGCAAAGCTGTGGCCAATGGGGTGAGGTTGCTAAAAGTCTGCCATTATCAGACAAATCTTCCCCACAGAAAAAGGAAACGTAATTCTTTCCTCTACATTATTCTTTCCCTAGAGCGTACATAAGATAAGCTGACCGTGGGTGGGTACGCAAAGCAAAAGAAGAAGCAAAAGGATGGGGCGTTGCCCGGGATTGAACCACACAAGGTACTCAATCCTTCATAAGCCGGAGTATGAGATGGCGTTGGGTCGTTTATTGAAAAATATATACCCAACACTCATGCAAACAACAATAGATGATTACTCTTATTAGTCCATTTGAAAACCTTCCTAAGCCTTGAATGATCACAAGACTCTATAAGGAATCTCATTTAATGCGTTGATCTAACACGCTGGCAAATGACATCTTGACAAACATTTTGGTTGTACAGGGTGTGTTTTCAGAAGAAACGATAGTGGTAGGTGCACCCTACACAATTACTACAGCGACCACAAGCTTTATCTTAGTGCATGACCATCTCCGATAAAGAGCACTTGGTATGGAGAAAGCAACAACCGCATTAACTACATCATCGCACAACGACAATGTCACATCCAGACCCAGAATCAGATCCCACTTATACTGTGTTTGTAAAATTACCATTTCCGCGGGGTGATTTTGTTGATCCTCCAGCTGTAAGGAATATCCTCTTGTATTAAAGAGACTATACTAATAACTATCTTCTTCAGGTGGAATGGGATGCAGGAAAAGACAAGGCTCTCTGGAAGATATTGCTCAAAGCTCCAAAGAACAGCGATGTTGATTGTAAGTACTTGGAATTGTTTATTGGGATTGCCTTGCTAACAGATATAGGGACTGCATTGTAGGTTCCGTCTGCGCATCCTCAAATACATCCTAACATACTCGCAGAGCTACGAAATTCGAGGTCACTCTTCCATTCCTTCTTCAGCAGGTAGCATGGCTTTACGAACGACAATTTTCACAAGTTCGCGAGCAGATGAGAAAAGCGACGGTATCTAAAGGCTCTTTGGCTCCATCGCCAGTTCCAGACAGTACATCTGAACCAGCATGCGGAGAAGAAATGAAGAGAACTGGTTCTGGAGGTGGAGGTAACTCGCAAGCGGCACATCAAACCCATCAGCTTAGGAGCTCACAACTAGCAGGCCCGCGTATTCAATCCTCTCTTTCCAACAGAAAGAGTACTCCATTCTCGAAAAATGATGGAAGTGTACCAAACACCCCCAATCGCGCAATGGGTATGATCCCTCATCTCAACTCGGTGATATGTTCAAAATCTAATGTCAAGTAGCTCCGCCATTCTCTCGCACATCATCTCGGGAAACGACTGTTCAATCTCGCACATTCGTAGCACCAAGTTCGCGACCAACTCATGCCACCACGAATCGACGATCTCTCTCACCGAAGCAGCGATCACGACCGCCTTCATTGGCAATCGACCATCCACCTAGAAATTCTCCACAACCGGCACAACTCTCTTCTCCTGAGGATTCCTCCGATGACGATGCTTACCCATTTCAATCAACCCTGCTCAACAAACGCTTCCCTTCTATCAAGAAAACAAACAAAGATCCCTCATCAGATGATGAACTTGCTTTTCTTCCCACCCCACAAGATCCATCCGCCACCCTTCGAGACCCCCGCAATCTTTCTCGGCGAACCCCCTCTCACCCCAAGAAGCTATTGCCAGTCGAATCGCAGACATCTGATTCCTCCACGAGTTCTTCCGCCCCAATTGTGAACAAAAGACACGATGCTATAAGCGGAGGAAGACGACCGCTGACTGGTCCATTGAGTCCTCGTCGCACAACTGAGTTACAAAGTGAGAGAAGTGATGGGGGAACACCAAGTATGGGTAGTAGTTTTAGTGATCTGGATGGTCTGTCTTCCCAACTTACTAAGAGTTTCAAGTCATGAGGCTTATCCTATTCTTGTTTTCCGTTCATCTCTTTTGTAAATTTCATTGATACCCCGTACTACCTTTAAACTCGAATTTAGTATCCTTTCTGTCACGAGATTTTTCTCTAACTGTTGACTGAATTCGAATGAGAGAAGAACTATCAGCTGACTCCCATAAATTTTAGACGCGTCCGTAACACAAAGCGCACTAGAAGAGGCACTCGCAAGCAACATGCAGGCAGGTGGCATGGCAAGTAGAATGAGTACTATCAGCCAAGCTCTGAGGAGTCGATATCTATAATGGCTGCAACTGTGATACGAAATTGTATCACGAAACCTTTCTCTATATTGTCACATTTCAGGAGTTCGGATGGACATCGGTACTGGGGATATTGGGTATGACGTAAATAGGACATGAAATTGGATAAGACTTATGAACAATGGATATAGGAATTAGGTTGGAGAACTGGTTGATTAGTGGGTTGGGTTTAAGTTTTTTGTAATTCTAATCTCCAGTATTTAAACTTCGATTTCATGCTTCTTGCTCCTGCAACTTCGATTCTCAGATTTGAAGCACTGTTTTCTGTTCTTTCTGCTCTTGGTATGACCTTATATGGCAACTCAAAAGCTCAGAGAAAGTACGTTGGTTCAATGGGTATCAAGATGAGGATAGAGCGACCGAAGCTACTATCTATGTAGTTTAGGATGGTCAAATTCAAAATTCTTGAGGATCTGAGGATGTCCTTTAGCTCGTTAAATATCAAGTCAACGATATCGTCTTTCTCAAGCGCCATGTTTGTTGTCATGAAGTTCCTGTGGCCTGTGTTATAGTTGTTCGACCATGCTAAGATATTTGGCTGCCTGCAAATAGCATTAACATGAGAATCTTCATTACAGAAATACCTCAAAATTCCTTTGGGAACATTGCACGGCATCACCAAAGCACAATGAGAAGAAGTAGAGTATGATTTTCTGTTTTTATTGTTCCAAGCTATGTTATAATCCCATTTTGTCAATTTAGTCAAAAATCCCACTTTGTCAATTTAGTTAATTAAAAGAACCATATTTGGCGAATGTTCGCCCGAAGAAAACGAAAGCTATCTTATCAAAGATTCCTATCGATGATCCTCGCTATATTCCTATTGGTCCAAAGTACATACCATGTGTACAATGTCCATTTGGTAGCCTTGATCTCTATCTTGCAATCCATATGCTTGCTTCTCGTCTACCAATCTAAAGCAGGCGACGCATTTTCAGCCGATCCCCATCCCTCATCATTCACTGCCTCGGAAGGAGGCGAAAGCGGTTGTTTCGCAACCGGTTTCCTGTTCCGATTCTTAAACGCTTGGATTTGCACTTCCTTATATAAGATCCCTTCGCTTCCAACATACGTATGAAGAAATTGACACGCCGCAGCGGAATTGAGACACTTCCTGCTACTCTCAGACGATGTGTAGCTGTGCCAAAAGAAACACGTGAAGCGTTTTCCGACCGTGGTGCTAGGGTCGGCGGGCTGATGCGGCTTGCCGGGTTCTGGGGAGGGAATCGCGTACACGACATCGTAGAGAAGTCCCGGGTTGATTTTGCCGTTTCGTATGTTGGTTTGCAAGGTGTATTCGCGATGTTCGTGGAGATCGCGACATTGCTCTTCCGTGAAGCGACAGCCTTTGGGACTATCCCAGTAACTGGATGGGGTTAGTGGGGGGTTTTGGGGGTGAGGGAGGGAGAGGGAGTTGGGGCACTTACTAACAGACTTCGGTCTTGGGAACGACAATTTCATGAGGTTCTATACGAAGTCTGTCCCGGGTGGTCATGAATTTTCCGGGTTTAGGAGAACTGTTGTATGATCTGTTGGGACGATATTTGGTCATTTGTCGTTCCTGGTATGAAGGGTTAATTTGTGATTTGAAGAATGATATTTTTTGGAAGAGAAATTCAGTTGTATTTTTGAGGTTGTTATTCATGTATGATGTTGTTTGAACCTCAGTACGCAGCCTTGTTGATCTCACTTGCAATACCACACATCGATCGACTGAAAACACAAGACTATATAAAAGCACTAACCTTCATTGAACTCTGTGTATAACTGTTTGCCCTTAGGTAGTCGACTTTGTGATATTAAGCTGAGTTCACAAAGAAGTCTGAGGGATGTGTCAACGAAAGTGAAACTAACCTTATTTTCATAGTCCGCATCGTTCGGCTTCTGCTCATTGACTACATCTTCATCATGCTCTGTATTTAGACTAGAGACTCTTGACTCTATTCCAGCGCTCTCGCTGTCACTCTCACTATTGATCTCGCGGTCACTATTAGCCGAAACAGCAGGTTCAGGTCGATCCAGGCTTTCTATCTGGTTCGTTTCTTCGACACTGTTCGAGGTTTTCTGTGGCTCAGTCGGCGGTGGTAAGATGTCATCTTCATCGTCATCCGCCCACTAAAAATCTCTAGCATCAGTCTATGATTGATATAGTTAAGGATATAAACGGTCTAGAGAGCATGTGATTTAGGACTCACTTCGGCCGTTTTTCTATTATCATATTCATCCATCGAAAAGCCGCCGGTTTTTTTGGGAGCTGGGCTGCTATGATCCATTTTCTTGCTGCTTGTCTTCTCATCCTCTAAGATGGCAGACACAGGAAAACTACCAAATAACCCACTTCTGCAATTCCACCCCAGACAAAGATTGGCACCAATAGGCTTTTTGACCTTAATTTTGTCACCACAAGATATTTGGATCCCGCCAAGAGCCTCAGGTGGTGGTTGAAAGTCCTTGATGGCTTTGTAAGACTTGCCTACTTGGGCGAGAGAAGTTGTCTTCTTAGATCGTGGGCCGACAGGCATTGGTTTGGTACCAGGACTGGCCACACTCCTAGTAAGAATTATTCTGGGTTCGTCATTGTCTCTTGTTGGCTCCTGTTGTGTTGATGTCTCCTTCTTTGGCTCACAATCACGAACAAATTCCGCTGCGGATGGATCATACTTTGGCTTGGGTAGTTTGACACGAGCCTCATTTTCGGGGAGCTGGGGACGAGCCTGACAATGGAAGCAAGTTGCATCTGATCGTGATCCCGAAAAATTTCCATAGCCATTGCTAGTCAATGTGACCAAGGCGTCTGATTTGGGTTCATCTTCAGAAGGTCCATTATGCTCGTGAAAGTCACCTTGCGTATCGTTGGGAGGTTCAGATACTGCTTTGTCTTCGAATCTCACGAGCTGTTGAGATTCCGATGGTTCGAACGCATCTTGCAACTGTTTTTGGGGGCCGTTTGTAAAAACATATCTTCCCTTGTGCAGTAATGCGTCTAGTTTCACCCATTCATCTTCAGTGAAAAACTCAGCGCCGTAAAGCATGCAGCAACCCTAATATCGGAGGAAGATTAGCAAGGAACCACATTCCGTGCAAAATCACACTTTCGTTTGCAGGATTATCGAGCATCTACAAACTTATAAATGGCGAGAACGAAGAGGTCCAGTGGCTTACATTCTTAACCTCCTCGAGTATTCTTGTCGCACGCGATGACAGCAACATACTGCTGATATACGACGAGCAATATTCGATGAAGAGAATTTTTTGATTACACAGAAAATCGAACGGCTTTCCAAAAATTTCCGACGCGTAAAAATATGGCACGAAGAACTATTCAATAGGACCACGGACAAAGTCCAGAGAAAAAAAGAGATCAGCTTGCCAAAGAGATATAAGTAGTCTTCCTTCAGAGAGCCAAGATGAGCGAAGCCATGTCTATTGGTTTGGGAGAATTGCATGTTGTGCTGCCCCAACGACACCTACCACGATACTCCCTACTTAATTTTATTTTACATTTGGCTCTTAGCCTAGTTGGTGGTTTCAAAGTGGGAAGGCTTCCTGCAAGAGTCTGCATAGTGGGTCATATGATTGAGGAGAAAAACGCGTCGAAAAGCCACTGATCGGCTGCCGTACAAGACACGTCGTCACAATAGCAGAGATCATGGTGAAGTGTGTTCATAATTGCTTCTAGGTTTTTCATAGGGTAGGTAGTATGAGGCCCGGGCTCTATAAAAAAATCTATACCCTATCTTGTCGCCGAACCAAGAAAACATCTCAGTGATATATGTTGTCTAACGTCAATATACTATCATGAGATATGTTTTCTGCAGAGCTGTTGAGATCTGATCTGTCAACATGGTGGCAATATAGCCATGTCAAACGGAAATCTGTTGGACTGCATGTCTAAGCCCATCCCATTTACTACCCTGTGTAATAACGTCTGCAAGTGACTCTCCACTGAAAGCTTCTGGAATAGATTAAGGTTCAGATATTAGAAACTTGATAGGACATTTATTCCACCTCCACCGTTCTTTTTGTCCTCCTGTTGCATATGTTGTGAAAAGATTGGTGAGCAGGTAGCCTTTGGCGCTCGCCATACCGAATAACCCTAATTCTATAGGGCAAGTTCCCACACAAGTCTGACCACATGCATGCAGATAAATGCTTATCGCTCCATTGGACGAACGATAGGAAATATTCGCGCCGTGTTTGCAATGATTCGGTCTTCAGAAATGCATGTTCCTTGATCTTGGATATATCTCCCAACAAAAGTCAGATGCCGATGTATCAACAGGAAGTCGATTGGTCAGATGGGTGGATATATGAAAAGTAGACATGTAGAACTATCTTATAGATCAATACACCTCGTAGTATTATTAATCAGAATAAGAATAATAATTATGAATTATTAATAAAGTATCTCAATTGCGCTAAAATTCAGGTTGTAATTCCGTAATTTTTTTCATCGTCTCTATTAACATTTTATTCTAATTAGTTAGTTAAATAATTAGCTGATTTCTATAGATAAAATTATTATTTAATTATTTAATTCGTTCTCTGTTTTCCTAGGAGTATTCAAAACACTATGACCTTGATTGACTTATATTCTTCTTCATCTTTTTTCTGGTCTTCCAACTACAAACATACATCTTAGAGTTCATTTGCATTATATATAACAGAAAAAGCCATACCCCTTCACAAGGCCAGTTTTCTCCTAGCTTTCCTTTCTTATTATATCCCCTCTCTTCCTATTGTGTATCCTTAGTAACAATTTATTAGTATGATTCAATTGCAAGTCCTTCAGTGCTTAATGTGAACCATTATCAGTCGTTGCGTCCTCAGGGTTGATTTGCGATCGATCCACTTCATCTCCATAATTTTCATATTCTCGCAGCATTATCTCGGAACCAGAATATCAATCATCAAACTCTTTTCTGCGGCCCTGAACTTTTGGAGAAACCATCGTCGACAGTATCTTCGATATCGAATCCTATTAAAAAGTTGCTCCTTTCGGCATCGGAATTCGAGTCGGCGTTAGTGACTTCCCCCTTGTACTCAATGATTCAGTAATTGTATCGTTTATCTAAGGTCTTGTTTTTCTCGTTTCGAAAATCTCCTGGTGTTCACGTCTTGCTCCTCTTGAGAATATTCAGTTGATCGACACACCTCTTTCTTGTAAATATAACATGCTTGCTTCGAGTCTACAAAGATTGTTGCCGTGATTCGTAACGGAAGCTGTTCCTGGAGTCTGGCTGGCCATCGCCATCGTTGCGGAATCTGCGGCAAATTAAAAATACTGCATCTTCCTGGTTTTCATGCAATGTCTCTCACGCCTTTACGGACTGCTTAATTGATTTATTTAACCCGGCATATCATTCTTTGAGTCGAAATAAGCCATATTACATACTTCTACCTCCTCGCCGGCCATAACAAACTTATTGTGTAGGTGTGATTGGATCGAGGCTATGTTGCAACAGAAGGGGTTCCCAGGTTATGGTTGTGAAACATTCGCTGAGTGGATTATCTTTGTTTTTCCTCTTGCTCGACTTGAGTGCAATGCAATGCTGTTACATTGAGAGAACATGTTGGGCTGATATTCATCTTCTTCGAAGTCGTTCTGCATGTAGTCGCAAAGTTCTGAGAAATCGGCGTCGCCCTGAGTACCAAAGAAGTCTAGTGCGCTGTAGTCACACATTATGGCAAAGATTTTGAGAATAGTGAGCATGTTGGAGAGTTAGAAGTTTAAATTGACACTATCCCCGCTATATTTCTCGCTTTTGGCGTAAAATTTTGACGAAATAACAAGTGATTGTGAGAACGAAGATTGTTGTGATTTTTGCTGCGGCGGCTTGGCACCTCTCTTACCTGGTCCGTCACTTTCACCATCGCCATCATTGTTTTTGTTGTCACCAGCGTCATGATCTCCCTCTTCTCTGCGCTCGTCATCAACTACTTTTCGTCCGTAGTTTTTATGATGAATTCACGAATGAAGCCACATGGAAACCAGGGATTGTCGATATCGGCGTCTTGAAAGTACTCCCGGACTAGGGGTTAGTTTAGATGTCGATTCAATTCCGCCATGAATTCGTTGAATCCTTTGCACTTCTTTGAAACAGCGGACGTGGGAGTCGCTTCAACGCCAATAATTCATTTAAACAAGGCATACGACTGTAGCTATGGGATATCCATAGAAAATACAGTATACCTTTGGAGTACTGAATCCTATGATAGCCTACAGTGACTCATGAAAAGGACGAATTTTTTTCTAGATTGAAGTGAGCATCCGGACTATCTTTCTCGATTGTTTTACGACTTTCCCTCCCTACAAATTCCATCAAAAATGTGGATTCAATTTAAGTTCTAGAAAGTGCTTTCAAATAGTTCGTGGATTTGTGAAATATTGTGTATAATCTGCGCGTTTAAGACCAAATGCGAATACACAACTCGCTATTTAAGAGAAAGATGCGGCATAGTTTTGTGCATCCAAACTAGACCTTGTTCCTCGATTCATATGTTAGTTGTGGTCCTAGAGGATTGATCGAATAATGCTTTGTCCGCCTCAACACCGGGCTTGAGTAGCTATACTCCTCGAACGCAAAGTTATTTTCGTCGTTTTCGAGCATCAATTTGAAGAGGTTTCCAGAAATAATTGAGCCTGAAGACGTTGAAGACATAATGGAAGATGTCGGCGAACTCGCCATCGTTGATATTGTGAAATTCTATAATAAGTAACTTATACTAACTCATTTAACGTAGTTTAATACCGAGTGGGCCATTTTCATCTCAATTTACACTCTTTATATTCAATATGCGTTTTATCAATTATTTATTATGGAATCTATAAATAAAGAAGTATGTTTACTTTTAGTTATTAAAGCTCTTTAAAAAGATAAAAAACTAAGTATTCGACAAATTGCTCGATTATATAATATATTTTGTATAATAATTAATTATATGTTACAGGAGCTACCTCTAGAATCACGTGGAAATGTCTAGAGATCTTTTGAGATAATTTAGATTAAACTTCAAATAGAAATTCAATAAGGTTATAATTAATTGTAATTCTCGTAACTATAGTAATAAAACTAATAATTATTCTTTTAAGCATGAAGCTCTATATTATAATGAAATCCCATTCCTTATATAGATCTTCATTCTTTGATATTGATTTGGAGCCCTGGCTCCTGAGAACTCCACCACGTGACACTAGTCACATGGCATTCTGTTACTCATCGTAACATTATAGAATGAACGGTTTACTTTTGTATATAGAGATTTGAGCGAATTGTTATAAAATTATAGATTTAAAAGAGAAAGTGATTATTTAATATATTCTTAATATAAATTCAAAAGGTTTTTTATTGTTACGGGAGCTGCCTCTAGGGTCACGTGGAAGTGTCTAGAGTTCTCTCGAGGTGGTTTAGACTAGACTTCAAGTAGGAATTCAATAAGGTGTTACGACGGGTAACATTGGATCACATGACGAGTGTCATGTGACAGGACGTTGGAACCTTTGGAGCTTAGGATCCAAGGAGCCAGGAGCCTTTGGAGCTTAGGATCCAAGGGATCCAAGTAGGACAGAACCATGGGCTTTGTAGAGCAGGAAGATCTATATAAAGAAATGAGTTTCATTATAATATAGAGCTTCGTGCTCAAGAACAATTATTAGTTTTATTACTATAATTATAAGAATTGTAACCAATTAATAACCTTATTGAATTCCTATTTGAAGTCTAATCTAAACCACTTTAAGAGATCTCTAGCCATTTCCACATAACCCTAGAGGCAGCTCCCGTAACATAAGGTTGGTAACTGGTTGCAATTCTCGTAACTATAGTAATGAAACTAATGATTGTTTTTAAGCACAAAGCTCTATATATAAAGAAACCCTATTCCTTATATAGACCTTCATTCTCTATAGAACCATGAGGCTCTGTTCTGCTTGGATCCTTTGGATCTTATAGATCTAGACATTTATTCTTCGATCCCCTAGATCCTCTAGGTCCATCACGTGACCGTTCGGCCATGTGACGCGGTATGTTGGATACCGTCGTAACATTTATTTAAATTTAAGAATATAGAAGATATAGCAAATTATATTTTCGAATTGAGGAATACGAAATATGTTGAAAAGCTTTGGATATATTGATTTGCAAAGTGTTGAATCGAATTAAAGATGTGTTTTAGTTGTATTTATAATTTTCAAAAAGCTTTTTATCAGAATTCTAAGCTTTTTAAAGAATAATTTTGATTAGTTATAAATATATAAATAAATATGATATTTTGAATGAAGGTTTTTATAATTTCGATGAAATAAACTTTATAATAGAAATTATATATATAGTAATAATAATAATTAATACTGAAAGAAATATGTTACAGGAGCTGCCTCTAGGGTCATGTGAAAGTGTTTAGAGTTCTCTCGAAGTAATTTAAACTAAACTTCAAGTAGGAATTCAATAAGGTTATAATTAATTACAATTCTCGTAATTATAATAATAAAACTAATGATTGTTCTTGAGCATGAAGCTTTATATTATAATGAAACCCATTCCCTTATATAAACCTTCATTCTCTATTGTCCCATTGATCCCATCGTATCCCACCAGGTGGGAGCAGTGGGATCCAGTGGGAGTTCCTAATCCCGTGACTTCCTGATCATGTGATGCGGTATGTTGGATGCCGTCGTAACAAAATAGTAGAAGTAAGGTAGTATAATTAGGTAATTGAGAATGGGCTATAATAATAATATATGGAAATAAAAAGAATGAAATTATTTCCCTATTTTTAATAGTTCAAGGATAAATTCATTTCTTCAATTAATATATCGAAACCGATCTTTTTACAAATTAGGCTATTAAATCTATATTTAATGAATGAATAAATAATGAGATGAGTTTAGAATGATTGAAATATTTCGATAAATATATTAAGAATTGAAAAAAGGGTAAATATCGAATGTTAGTATTAAATAAACATAAAAGTTATAAATCAAAAGCTTTTTAAGTATATTATAAAGAAAATAATATTAAATATATATGTTTATTATTATATTCAAATTATTTAATTTAATCATTTGATATTAACTGTTTTAGTAATCTAAAATATTTATATAGTAATCAAATTAATAGATTTATTAAGTTATATATTAATCATATTTCAAAGATTGAATTCTTTATAGCTCTTAAAATTATATATAAAAAATCAATTACCTTTTAGAATATAAAATCAAAATTTTAAAGAATAGGTTTAATATTATTTAATTTTGAAGCTATATTTTTAAAATTAGATATTCGAATTTATATACCTATCCCCCTTTTTTTCACTCTAAATTAATAAATTTTTCAAATTTTTTATAATTTAATTGAAATTATTTCTTAATTAATATTAATTAAATCTCAAATAAATCGTTATTAATTAAGCTCCTCTATATTTTTATTTAAAATTATATTAATTCTAGCTAAAAATATAAAGAGATTAGCTTATAAAAATACACTTTTAAATATAAAGATTTATATACTTCGAAAAGCAAATGAGACATTAAATAAGTATCGACATATGAAAAAAACTTAATTATATTAAAAAGAAATACTTACTGAATGTTACAACGGATTAGTAACAGGCTGTAGAAATCACCAACTTATAGGCTATAATGGTATTATAGGCCTCAGTGATTCAGTTGTAGTATACTGGGGGACATTAGGCATCCAAGGAAATCCTCAGGCATGTATATAGTATTAGTTATAGGATACCCTAGAAACCTAGAACATAATTCCCAGGATAGTAGGTCCTAGGAAAGACAGAACACAGTAAGCAAAAAGGCTTCACTAGGATTAGTAATGTCCTAGGGGATTAAACTCTAGGACAAAAGGACAAGCTAGGACAATAGGAATCACGGGACAAGTGTTATGTGATCAAAAGTCGATCGACTTATCGATCGACTTGTCGGTCGATTTGTCGGTCGATTTGTCGGTCGACTTCAGAACAAAGGTCTATATAGGGAATGGGTTTCATTACAATGTAGAGCTTCGTGCTCAAGAACAATCATTAGTTTCATTACTATAATTACGAGAATTGCAACCAATTACAACCTTATTGAATTCCTACTTGAAGTCTAATCTAAACTACCTCGAGAGATCTCTAGACACTTCCACGTGACCCTAGAGGCAGCTCCCGTAACACTGAACAAGAAACTCTTAATATATTATTCCAATAAAAAATTGATATTTAGATTTAATATAATAAACATCAAAATAAAGGAAATCCTAATAAAAAAGTATTCTTTAATAGATACTATGATAAATATAGAAAGTTAAATTATAATATAAAAATCTGTCAAAATAATGTAATAGATTCTAGATTATTAAATTCTTAATAATTTAAATCAATTAATTCAATAATTGTTAAATAATCTATATTTGAAGATGTAAATTGAGGTGAAAGTGGTCTACTTGGTGATATGGCTTACTCGGTGTTAAACTACATTATTAATATATCGCTGGTTAAGAGATATCTTGATGATTAATACATGTATAATATGATTTTATATTATAAAATTATATTATCATATTATTATATCTCTTATCAAATTGATTTATAATAGAATAGAATGGAATGGAATTACATGAAAGATTGTTAATAAAACGGACTAAATTGATTGACTGTACTTTCTTTTTATAATAAAAATGATTCTATAAGATTTGATTTAAATCGATCTTGTTTGTAAGCATGAAAACTACTAGAATTTCATTATAAACCTAGGATATTCATTGAAGAAAACCTAGAAAAAGCAAGCAAATTCAGCTAGATTCAGCTCTTTCTTATAATTTGACTTCACTTCAACTATCATATCACATATTCGATTTATTCCTAAAGCTAAAAGTGACTAAGTCTTCCACCACTATTAGAATACTAATGTTATGATTATTATTCTAGAACTAACCTCCAAGAGATATCCCCAAAGTCAAATCATTTCCTGATAACGAATCAAGATCAAGAATCTCCCTGTCAGCTTGCTGGTAAAGTTCATCTCGAGTGTTCCATTTTGCAAAGTTTATTATAGTACGTTGTGTCAATATAAATCACAGCCTCTTCTACATAGTGCGTTTTCAAATTTTGGTGATTACATACCAAGCACAAGTAATCGAAAAGGTGGCAAGATTTCTTCGATGAAAAGAGGGGCGTACACCCTGTCCGTATGGGAAGTTTTCTATATTCTGTAAGTAGATATCAGTTACAAAACCTATGAAAACCTAATTACATAACTTTCATCTCGAACACATTTTGAAACAACACTTCCAAATTCCTTGATCTCCTCTACTAGCTAGATTCACGCCTTGAATACTCTCAACCATAGGTACATTTAGAGGTGTGTATTGTATGGTATATGTAGAGACAGGAGGGTATTGGACAGTTAAGAATTAAAATGTTGACATAACGACTGACAGCGGCAAAGGAACGTAGGGGATTGATTTGATAGATGGTTGCATTAGATGTTCTACACACTAGAGAACAGTCATATTAGATGGCTAGTGAAGACAACCAGATGTAAGGTTCCCTTCACGTGCGTCATACAATGTGGCTGCCGATTTTTCATCCAGACGATAGAAAATGGGGCGATATAACATGTCACGTATAACATCTACGACGATCATATCTTGATATCTATAATAATCATTTATTCTGTTAGGTGCTGTCTAGGCATGTGATGTTTGCCATACAATCAAGCTAAATTATTCACGCAAAGAGTTTCAATAGCCAACTTAATCGATCATATCATCACGTTGCTGGGAATAATGTTCAGGTAGGATATATGATATTCTACGAAGAGCTCGAAAAGAGGAACAAGAACAAGAAAGAGCGCTGACCATATGAGATGTTGATGCCTAAAGAATGGCAATATCTCCGCTAGTAAATCCGTGACACATAAGTTTGCCTCCCTTGATCAAAGAAAAGAAAGGTATCTTGTCTAAGTATGATTCATGTTGTGAATTACTTCATAGACTCTCTAGTAAAGAATCCTTAGTCGATTGCTTATTTCGTCGAAAAGTAATAGAAGTTAAGGGATCAATCTTCGAGGCTGAGGGTTTTGAGGCCATAGGTTGAAATCAATCCTAAAACAATATTAGAAATTTGATCCCATTTTTAACTGAATACACTTACAAGGGCATCTAGTATTTTCACGACAAAACAATTGCTAATAGGACCAAGATAGCTCCTGCGGGTAGGAGGTTTCGAATGTTTTTGAGCTCTTGAATCTGAATATCCTGAGCCTGAGTTTGAGTATACCGAGCCTGGATTTGATATCCATATCTTTCCTCGCTGCGTGGCAATTGGCCCCTGTTGCGTTCATCCATTAGATCCTTTACTTTCTCATCACGCCCATCACGCCCATTTAGTGTATTTTGTAGTTCGTCGTTGCGGGCATCCCTATGAATGGCTCTTTCCTCGAGTGTAGCAATTCGTATGCGAGCTGAAGTGAGTTGTTTATGAAGATCGGCAGTTTCTTGACGAAGTAAAGCAATCTCTTGATGTTGCTCTATTTTTAATTCGCTTATTGACCATATCATCGTTATCAGATTGATATTCCAGATTTAGATTACAGATATCTAGGATTCGATTCGAGTTCGATAACTTTGGAGTATCAGTAAACATTATTGTAATAAGTCGAATCAAATACAAGCTAATAAAGTTGTTATAATCTTGATAGAGTTAATATTAAAAATTATTTGGATTTGTTTGTTTGAATTTGTTCGATCATAAATGTTAGTATTAGATTGAATAAGGTGTATCTAATAGTAGTAAAAAGATCAACTCTTAGTATATAAGAAGTATAGTATTCAAGGAAGTTTATTTGAAAGTTATATAATGAATTTTATCTTCTTTATGTATTTAAAGAACTAAATCTTTATTAGTATAAATTATTTGAACTATTAGTTAAATTGTCATTAAAAGATGAGCTGTATTAGTGTATTAATTCTTGAGTTAGATTTAAAAATAGTATAACTTCTATGAAAATTTATCACTTATGATTGAAGTTCTTTGAAGGACGGTATTAGATTGTATTACAATTCATGTCAATCTTAAGCGAAAATGGAGGCAGCCTCAGGTAGGAGGCGAAAGCTTTGCCTTAAGGAAATATTGGTGTGTAATTCGAAAGCGAATTCTGAAGAAAAAGATAATCATTGAGTGGGAAGCGCATAACCTGATTGGAAACGAACTATCTCATTACATAAAGTTCTCTAAAAGTTTAATTTGATCTTTACTGGATAATATGGGATGATACATCAAAATTTATATTGGTTCTGTTTTTGATTTCAGCGTTGATTCCAAGCCTTAGTATAAGTTCAGAACCTCTGAATAATGGACTACGGATAGCAGTTGGTATCCATGGGCCATTTCTAATCGATCAATGAACTGAGTCAGGGGTAGCCCAGCAGCCATTTCTGGGTTGGTGGGTTGCTTTATACTACAGTCGGTATAGTATTCTCCCCACCTGATGCTCAAGCTTCATGGCTTAAAATGTACTTGTCGACATTCATGGTGCACATGCGTCTGAATTTGCCGAAGTCATAACGCCCTGTCCAAATTGTGTTCATGTAGGGCCAATGTTTAATCAAGAAGCTGCGATTTGATGGCTTTTGTCTTTCATGAACTCGTCCATGCTCGCGCTGATGAAGGGATTGGTATTGTTGATGCTAGCATTGAGTTTGAAACACTCCGAGAAGAGAAACATGATAGTACGTTAGTTCATCCAGCTAATGAAACTGTGGTCGTTGGCATACTCGATTGAGACGCTGTTTTCAGTTCACTCACCATAACAGTCCATGTAAATATGGCTTTTGAATACGAATACCGCTGGTGGGCATTGGAATAGATGTCACCCTTTTATGGTTGAAGATGACGAGGTTCTTGCACTGCCTGTCTATTGAACATCAGTCCTCGAGAAAATCATGTTTCTCAGATGCAATTAGTTCTCGATAGAAGATTCTCTCCGAAGCGTTGTACGAAATGTTGAGGACCTATAGGGTGAAATTACATGCTGGTGATGTAAGAAGTCTATTCGTGACATGTGGGATGTCGCTGGCTTCTGGAGAAGGACTAAATTGAGCTACAACTACTAGCAGTAAAAACCTTATAAATAATGGTCTGCCACACGCAATCACGGAATTTTCTTCAGAAATGGGTCTGAAGAGAAAAAATATTGAAGATTGGCGTATGATAAATTTCTTATAAGGAGAGGCCACTGGTAGTTCCACCACAATTCGTAGTAGAATGCGGAACAATGAAATCATATCTATACAGAGTTTGGAAAGCATTTAAATATCCTAAGACGCAGTTCAACAGTCGAAAGCTTTCGACTCCTGCATCGAGATAAACAATCAAAAGTTTTGAAACACGAATTCCACCCCCAATGTGTTATCTTTTTCTCAGAAATCAAAAGCCTCTATTCCATCTGCCAATCCGGACCATGGAACATCCTTAATCGATGATACCACAACCTCGAAATTACGGTAAAATATGCTTTTGAAAGAAATCCAAGATAAGAGGCGTAGCATTGAAGCTCGCTGGTCCTTCCCCATGCCCAATCAGATCGGAATTCAATACCGTACTCGGCCAATCGTGTCCCAAATTCCTATCAAAAACATGCTGTACTAAGCCTTCGTCCTCTTCCTTTCCAAAGCTATACACTACTGTGTCATGTGTCAAATTAGTCGTGACATTCTTCAGCTCCAACTTATCTCTCAGGGCCCATTGATGTACCCAATGCGGAATAGTCGGTATGCACTGGTTGGATCGATTAGCTTGTCCATCATAATGAATCGTCGAGTCATCACCCCCATGAAACTCAAGCATGGGGATCTTGGGACGCCCTGGAGAACATGGGATCGTAACATTGTTTGGGAAACATGGTTGCGTGTCAATATAATATGCACCAGAGACAGGAGCAAATGCAGCTATTTTGGTAGAGAGTATGGGATCACAGGCTAGGGTGTTACAAAAACCTCCCCCATCAGATTTACCGGTGGCCCATATGCGTGTGCTGTCTATACAGTATGTTTTGTCAAGACTGTCGATTATGTCGCTGACCAGCTGGGTATCATTTGCTATGTTTCCAGGGTTACCTTCCCATTTTCCCTGATCTTGTTAATATGTACCCTATTTTCGAGTGAAGGGATCTCGTCACCTTGACTCCTTGAGGGTATATTGTTATGGCGAAGTTGTTAAATTCAGGATTTGTCATTTGGTCCAGCGCGAGTTGTTGCGAGGCATTTCGATGGCCTCCGTGGAGAGAAAATATGACGGGAGTGGCCGATTGGGATGTATAGAGAGGTGGAACAACGATAAGATAGGATCGATGGACATCCGAACTTGTGATTGATATATTTCTAGGTTGACCAATACTAATATCAGACGGTATAGCTTTAGTGCAAGAAGGGTCTTCTCGAGAACTTGTGACACTGCGGAGGAGGTTAGGAGCCGCCCAAGCGTGTAAAGCATTCTTGAAAGAAACCATGATGTATGAAGTGTGTACGAAAACAAGCAGTGAACTGATTAAATTGGCTTACCACTGAGTATTTACGTAGAGATATCTGCACGAGATATATGAGTGCCTTTCGGTCAGACGTTCAATTGAGTCATCAAGCATTAGTTTTTGATCTTCTCGTAGATCTCTTAGTTAGGACCCTGAACAATCCCACTAGTTACACAGATCTACCAAGTAAGATAGTAAGATACGAAGTTATGAACCAATCATGTGAAATATCACAGAGCTGTTTTCAGCTTAAGAAATGTTACGTGATTTTGGAAAACGTTGTTGGAATGGTGGGAAAACTGCAGCGAAGAAGCTGGCTTTGTGTAAAGTAAACAACGCAATAGAAAACAAAGGGTTAACGAGACAGGATTGAAAGGTTATCACTTATCACGAAATGGAAAGATGTTGGTGTTGGTGTTGGTGTTGGTGGTTCAGGCAAACGTGAACATATTGGCATATTGGCATTTGGGGATTTTAGTGGTTTGGTAGGTGATCTACAGCCTACAGGCCCGCTAGCGGCAGCACTCCAGGTGAGATCTCATCAGCTCAGTATACACACTCATCCTCAATCACAATACCGAGTGGAGGAAGAATCTAAATGACAGCAGAAGAACTCGCTCCTTCATCGCACGCCACGGTACGTCTCATCAGAATACTCCGCCTGTTGATCCTGATCCTCAAATGCTGCTTGAGTCTAGGATGATTAATCCCCGAACTAACTTCGATATCGTTTTGGTTTCACTGTTACACGTTGTCAATTATATCCTTAGTTGCAGTAAAAAAATGATTTAACAAGTCAATTAGTCTCCATCTGAGCGAATAACCACAAACTAAGATGGAATTTCAAACATTTAATATATGTCTGAATATTCAATCTAAACTAAATTGAACTTTTCAAGTATTTGATTTTTAGGTTCGAAATAAAGAACTGGAAGTGTTTGAGAAAAAGAGTGGAATTCGAATATTGACTATAAGGTTTACTTGCAGTACAACCTCTTTTGACCGTGGTGTGCGAGTCTAGTCTCAGCTGTGCAAACCATCGATGAGAGCGGAATCTCCACTACAACATATTATTTAGCCGAAATGTCGTGAACTTAGTAGATTCTGGCTGATTGGGGCTAGCAGATCATGTGATTAGAGCTCAAAGCAGATAGACGCGCACCTCGCTAATCGCCAAAACAAATTCAATCTCGTGGCTTGGAGAAAAAGCTAAAATACTAAAATCAACATCCAAATTCGAGTTTGATGATGAGAGTCTGGAACTTCTACATACAGGATCGACAATCAGATATTCTATAGGGCTTTTTGTTTGTTGTTCCATCCTTGGATTTTTTTTTAAATCGCGAGGGTATAATTCATGTCAGGCCGTGGATGATCCCTCACGTCTGCCGTTTTGCGGATGGCATTTCATCTACAAGCTGAGATGGCTTCATCCAACGGAGACAGAGAAACCTATTTTGGTCGACGAACTTTTCGTGAAAGAGCTGTCCCAAAGATCCTCGGAGTCTCAGAAAGAATGATTTTACTCGAATCCGCAGCTTGGTAGTCTTGAAACATACTATTCCAAACGAGATTGGAAGGATTCTGGATTCTTTTGTGTCGGTACACCCATCTGGTTAGTCTGAACTTCCCCGCCATTTTTTCTTCTCTACTGGGGAAAGCACTTTCCCAATAGCCACTAGTGGCTGCTCAAACTTCCCTTATCAAGATGTCCATCGTTACATAAGTGATTACGATTCGGCCAAATCTCAGATCGAATTTATGAAACCCTGAAACTGCAAATAACGTGTTGAAGTTTCATCCAATCAGCTTGCTTATTACCCAAGCCAGCCTTACATCTGACTAGGCCATTCGCTTATGGACATCACGTTGGAGGAACGTTTGCCCTGCCATGCTCATCTCTTTCGTCCTGAACTTTACTATGTTCAAAAGTATATTTAAACTTCGCGGGAATGTCATGTAACTTCAACATGACACTGCCCCGAAGCAAGTTCATGACTAGACGGGAGGGACACAAAAACGGCCCTTTTTGTG